TCCTCAGGACTTCTCAATTTTGGATTTCTTTTCGGCAGGCACGGGGGAAACAAAGGCAACAGGTTTCCTCAACGGACCGGGAAGGCCCCCAGGTTACGCCAAACCAAGGAGAAGATTGGGGTGTTCACTTAAACCGTGGGTTAAAGGGGAATGCTTGGGGAGGGGGGGGGGTTCGCCAAAATATACATGGGTGGTTCCTGGATGGGAAACCCCCGGTGGAAGGGTTCGGGAAAATTTTTTCTTGGAATCCCCCGCCTTTTGGAAATTCTTTGGCCGATAGGGGGATTTGGACATTTGGTGGTCTTCCGCCCGGCCCCGGTATTCCTTGGGGGGCAGGGGAAATTTCGGGGGGAATTTACTTTCCCCGCCCCGCCCCGGTTTCCCTTGGGGGGCACACCAAATTGGTTTTCGGTGTTTGGCCGGGGGGGGGGGGGGGGCAACCAAAAAATAGAAACATGTATCCCCCGACTTCCTTTCCATGTTCCCTCTCGTATGCGAGGTTGGTTGACGTTGCGTTCCCCTGTTCTGCACGGTTGTATCAGCACTCTTAGAGGTGGTAGGATCACTGCCAAGGCAAAACATGCTCTGACCACGCCAAACCCATCGACATTCGAAGTATCGGATGTGAAACAGCTGGGGAATCTACCGACATCCTGCTTGCCCCCAGCGCCTCCTACCCAAGTTCAGCCCAGAATACTGGGGGGAAATTTGCACTTGCCCCGGGAGGGTCGTAATAGCACGTGCACAGTATGTTAAGGCATCCCCCGTCTCCCACCACCTTTGAAGCAGGGCATCGTGAAAGCAATGTATAGAAGCCCTTCTATCTGAAGGAAGTTGCAGTTGCATCATACACTGCAATGGCTCGTCAGGTACAGAAGCAGACATATTGCGCCACCGCTTGAAAATGTGCATACTATCAACGAAACACTATTTACTCGTTCGAGATATCACCACCCCGTTCGAAGGGATGTGTATCAGAAGAAGACCTGGTGGGTCCTACTGTCCTCACGTATGTAACGCCCTGCTCCTTTGTTGGTTATTTTCTTCCTGTCGAACGGACAGACGAAGTGCAACGACGCCATCCTAGACTGCTGCAGCTTGCTCGGCGAGCCGCGCCACTGCCTTGGCATTGTCGCGAGCTCCAGGGGCTACCTGGCGGGACGCATATCCATTCGCGGCGAGGTGAACACCCCCGAAAAAAATGGGGGGTCGTATTCTGGTCGAGAAGCTGAAAGTGGCCGCTTCAAGCTACGGTGGTAGGATTTGCCCCTAGAGGATCAAGAGGCACGACACGACTGGCGTACTCGAGAATTCCTTGTCAACAAGAGATGATTCTCCAAGATTTTCCACCTCGTCTTTGTCATGCTCATGTGTACGGTATTCAACCTGCAGCACGCCGATCGGGTGCCTGCCGCTGCGTGGAAGACCTTCGATCTAACGTGGCTGAGGGCAGCTGGTTTCGGTCTTGGTCTCGATTCACCTCGGAAAGAACAGTACAGCAATCCGTCTCGTCGACATTCGTTTATTTTTTTTATGCCTCATGTCAACATGACTTGGGCTCGCGTTCGAAGAACCGGGGAGTATCTCATTTCGCTGTAGCTCATCATGGCGATCGTCAAGATTATGCCGCCGCAGCGTGGACCATTCCACGATGACGACAATGGTGGCGATTCGGTCGAACTGTCAATTTCCGTTGTGGCCCGCAACTGTTTCGACTTGCAACGGGCAGGGCTTCGAGGACTGGCAAGACCCTAGATCCACTGGCGGGTCGTCGGGTCTGGCCATCACTTCCGACTGGCTAACGCGTCCCCTGGAGCTTAAGTCCGACGCTCGCATCGTCCTCGTCGTTGAGAAAGATGGGGTTTTCAACCGCATGGTTGAGGACGGCTTTTACGACAGGCAATTCGAGTCGCAACTGCTCAACAAACATCGGGCTACATTGTGGGCGAGGAGACGAATGCACAGCGTATAGACGGAGCAGCCCTGTTGACCATGGATGGTGTTGCCGCAATATAGGCAGTACCTCATGTTCGCAAACGTTCCGAGAACGGAGCCGTTATGAAGCGTTCACGAACTGTTTTGTTGCTCCTCAACCACGTTCGTGCCAAACAGGGCGAACGTTTCCACACTCCACTATCTTCGCAGGATTCCGAGTGTCCTAGTCACTGGGCAAGGTTTCCCGCCTTTAGCGGTTCGAGCGTGCGTCTACAGGCTGGCCGAGGCCTTGGACTTGCCGGTGCTTGGTCTGGTCGACTGCAACCCGTTTGGTGAGATCAACGCAGGATTCACAAAAAACTCTCGCGTAGTCACGTGCGCCATGCGGCGCAAAGTATCCTGTCGACATCTTCAAGATTCAGTGACAAACCTGACCAAATATTCCCAATGGGGTCGCCACTCCGGTTCTATATGGTCGGTGCTCAAACAATGACATTATTGCGTCCCCTTCACTTTAATGTGGACTCTTGCCACGAGACGCCAACAAATTGCCGGATTGGTGTATGTCTAAAGCTGACTGCCTCGATGCTGGATGCTGCGCGCGTGGAATGCTGCGCAAAGTTTCATCCCGAAGGTCAAAACGCACATGATCACGATGCCTCCTGCCTTTTACGAGCTACCATGCGATACGATGACGGTTCCCGCACCTTTCTAGGGCTCAGCGTTTTTCTCCAGTACAAGGAAGGCTCGTCGAGGCAGGGACGGGGCTCCGCCAAATTCGGGGTGCCCGAAATGAAGTGGGTGGGTCTTCGCCCTTCCCAGCTTGACGATCTTGACCTTCCGGATGAGGCGAGTCGAAAAATAAAAAACGCATCTTCAAGGTGCTATCACAACTCTTGCTGTTGAGAGGATTTTTGGTCCTCTGATTATACGATCCGCCACCAGCTTCCAAGAGAGATGGCCGAGTAGTAAACAGGCGTTGCATCCCCTCAAACTCCACTCATGGCAACCCTGGATTTGAAGTGGAAATTAACTTTGGAGAGAGCAACGAAGCCCACCCTTCCTCGTATCGGCACGCTGCCGCGGGCGATCGAAACTGAAGCGAGCCCTTGACCTTCAGAGCACACGTTATCTGCAAGCCGCGCATTCTTTGCTCTTTCGAAACTGTTTCGTCTCTCCACCAGGTGCACCAGACGCTCTCTCAGCAAGACCTCTCCAGGGCGCAATCCGTCGCCAACTCTACGCTTGTCACAGACAACCCCGACACGTACGGGGAGGAGGTAGAGTACTGGCTCGACACCGAAAACCCAGGCAAGGGAAAGGGATGCGAGAGAATCTCTCCAAACACGTCGATTGGCAAGGGTGATCTTCCTATCGTTTGGCCCAGCTTGGCGATAGAGCAATCAATGTACCTCGTCGTGTCCCTTTTGTCCAAAACTGCTTTTTCTCTCTTTCTGATGCAAATTTTCCCTCTGAGGCTGTACTTTCTGTCATCGCGTATCCCTTAGCAAAGATCATGCCTAGGTCAACCGATTTCCCCTAAGAGAAAATTTTCCTCCACGGTAACGGTAACCACCCAAACGATACTACCGCCGGCGGACCGACGTACAAAAAGCTTTGGTCATGACCCCCCGGCATTCTTATAGGCGCCCCTCGCGGCTTTCTCAGAGGAGATCATTAGAAATTTCTTGCATTCCTTCTTTAACGCGATGCTGCGACCGTGGAATTACGCTCCTTCGGTGTGAAGAGGACGAAAGAGGACACAAATACCGATTTTGCCAGAGCGCTGTTCGTGAAGACGCCAACAACGACGACGACACCGACTAATCTCTCACGAGGCAAGGGTTTTTGTGTGGAATGCCTCGTTCTGGTGCAGGGTCGAAGGTCGAGTTGGAGGCGCTGTACACGCTGGGCATGAATGCCCTCACCGGACGCTTTCTGGAGACTGCGATTCTTCACGAGGACTACATATGAAACTGTTATTCTCGAGCACGATGCTCTGGCACTGCAGTACCGTGCCTCGCTCATATTATTCGGCGAAGCATGTTCCACCGTTGGTTCTCGTGGTGGTGTTGTTGCGAGAACAGCGGCGTTGCCGAGGGTGCGAGGAGACCCGCCACACCGGAGGCACAGACAACAACTACGAGCTATGCCAGAGCCGGCAAAATAACAAACACTCATCCCACCTTGTTCACTAAACAAGGTGTGCCCTCCAAAAGCCCACGATTGGAGTTTCGTGCCCGGAAAAAAACCACGATTGGAGGTTCACGGAACTTGACGACGCTTCAGATAACCTCCAACCCTGCCGAGGTATCAGAAGGAGACCGCACTACTGTACTGAGGACGGGCTTATTTGGTTCGACATCACGGTCAGCCGTGTCAGGAACCCTTTGCTCTCCTGAGCGTTTTGCAAACAAGTGAAGATTCGTCCCAGGAGACGACTTGGCATCGGCTTGAAAACTTGCCTGGGGCTTGTCGTCGTGGGAAACCGTCGCCCTTCCTTGTGTTTTTACTCTCCATGATGTTTGTCCACCCCGGTTATTGGCCTAGAGGCGCATGCTTGTACGGAGCGAAGCTGTGCGACTCTCAACATGTTCCCGGCAAAATATCGTGGGCCACCCCAAAGACTAAGAGGGAAGTTGTCTGGTCGACAGGGCCACTGGAGTTGGGAGGGAATCAAGTCATGTAGCTGCCCGAACCATCACAGGAGCACTCTCGGAGGGGGACTAACAGTATCGTCACGGCCCCGCCTCTTCCGCGGTCGCCCGTAGGCAACACCTACTTCGGTCAAAAGGTTAAAAACCATTTTGACACAGCCAATATGAGCTGCACCCTTAAATACCACCAAATACGCCTCACTATATCCTCTGAGATGCCAAGAATACTGCATCGATCTCTTACTTTCCCCAACCCCAACCCCAGCACCGAGAAACTTCCTCTTGTTTCTCTACAAGGCCGACTTCTTCTTTAGCAAAAACACAACACTGTGACAGCCATAACCAACCTCACCCCCACTGGCTTGCATGCTTATGTTACCCGGTACAACTGGATCACTATGCTTTACATCACCCATTCATTGAAAGTAATGGGCGAAAGAAATCCCACCCCTTCGAAATGGGCCCGTGAAGCGGGGTATAGCCCTCGTCGCCGGCTCGTCGCTGTTGCGATACGCCCTTCCGGCGTGCCTGTTCCTTTCTACACCCCAACTCGCCAAATACCACCGTCGATTGGCTTGAGCGACGTCAAAAATTCTCCAAACAGCTGTGCTCGTGCTGGGGGAACTCACGACCAACCGCTCGAGATAGTGGCACCAAATGTTCTGCACCCCCCCAAAGCTCGACCACCTGTATCGGGGACTGCCAATAACCACACAATTAGGCGACGCTGCCGTGATATCTGTCACACAGCATCGGGCCTGTCCTCTATCTACCACATCACACTCGCGTTAAGTACTACGCTGCTGGCTGGTACCGTGCAACGATGCCTTCTCTACTTTCGCTCACAACCTATCATATGCTACAAGCTTGTGCTATGTACAGTCGGTGAACACAGACGGGGTACATTGAGCTTGGCTGCTGCCTAGTACATGAGCACGAACCATCCGGGCATTATAACGCGTTGCCGGTGGTTGACGTCAGACCAAAGTACTCTGAACAACATAAAACACTCTTTAGGCGGGCATCGGGAAATATTATCGTCATTTTGTTGAGCTACAATACGTCTCCCGCTAGGGATGGTCGGCAGGAGGTCGGCCCTCTTGTCCATGCGAGCTGTGTCCTGTTAATCAGTCATGACGAGAACCAACGAATCAGGCTGCCACGAAGAAGGTAAGCCCCGTGCATGAGGCGACCACTGACGCGCCAAACGCCACGAGAAGCCCGCTCGCGACGTGCCACTTGCCGGGGAACTTCCCCACCGCCGCATTCGCTACCTCCGCATCACCGTCGTCGGTCGCTTCATCATCCCCGCCGGCCGCGTCGTCGTCAGCGGTGATCTCTCTAGCTCCATCCCCCGCCGAGGAAGGAGAAGCCGTGGTGGTATCACCACCAGCGGTTGGGCCCGAGCCCGGGGCGTCGATAGCCGGTGTCCCCGCCGACACCGGGGCATCAGTAGAGGGGGAAATGATGATGGGGGTGCCAGTAGGCGCAGTCATCGGGGAAGGAGTGACCTCGGGGGTGTTAAGCGGTGTTACGGGGGAAGGAGTAACGGGGCTGGGGGTAGCGGGAGTCACCGGGGTTGGCGTGACGGGGTCGATGGGTGGCGTAACGGGGGCGTCGGTAGCTGGAGTTACCGGGGTTGGCGTGACGGGGTCCGTAGGCGGGGTCACCGGGGCGTCGGTGACCGGAGTCACAGGGGATGGCGTGACGGGGTCCGTAGGCGGGGTCACCGGGGCGGCGGTGACCGGAGTCACAGGGGATGGCGTGACGGGGTCGATAGGCGGCGAAACCGGAGCAGGCGTCGGTGAAGGGTCGCTGCTATCAAACGTGATGCCTCCATCTGACGTGAAAAGAGCAGGTGAAAAAAAAAGGGTATTGATGTCGACGTATCAGAGGGAGCGCCGATGCGGGGGTCAGGGATAACGAAGACAGCGTTGTGTGCAACTTTTGCAGTATCAGTCAGACACTTTGTCGGGGTTCCGCCGGACGCAGCGTGCTCCTCAAACATAAGCTTCAAGGCTCTGGTCCTATACACAACTCCCGGTCGGTCCATCGGACGCGCCGGCTCGTTGGACGCTTTGCGGCCATCAGGTTCGACGACACGCCCCAACCGCTGCACAGGAATTTGGGCTTCAAATGATCAAACGCACCCGGCACATCGCCTGCAACTTGCACTGTACGACAACTACACTACACTCCTGGCAGGGCGGTATACACGATGTCGTAGCCCTTGGGCATTCCAGCCACCTATACACATGCATACGCATTCGTTGTTTACCACCAAGGTCGAAATTGAGCATGTTCCTGAGAAGTACTCCAATAGAGACGATCCATCGTTGCGAGAAGTGGAATGTTGTCGTCGATCCGGCAGACAGATTATAGGTGCCAAACGACTGGGTGGTGCGAGATGAGTCACGCATTAGCGTGCTTACCGTCCGAGTCAAAATCTTCGCAATATGAGGGTGGGCAGGTCCCACCGTTAGGATCGACGCACGAATACCCAAACGCCTGCGGGGGGAGGGAGGGAGTCGACAGAAAAGGTAATAACACGGGCAGGGGGGATTGCGACACAGCACTGGAGCGGGTGACCAACCCCGCAATACCTTGGTTGATTATTTCGGATGATTCCGTTGCGATTGTGGGTGAACCGGCTCCGGTAGCAAAGGAGAGCAATTTTGCTGAGTTTGCACGCTGCTCAAACGACGCATCGTGTTCTTGTGCCCAGCTTTCGAACAGAAGCAAGATTGAAAAGTTACCAGTTCAAAATTCTGCATGCCATCAAGCCCCAGATAGGCCATGCAAGGGTCGTGGACGGCTTTCTGGGCCCCGGTTGTTTCTACATAGGCACCGAGTTGCGAGGCGAATGGCAGCTTCCGCTGGAGGTCGTTGGTAGACCCGGCTGGGCCAGCAACCTGTACAATGAGCGCCATGTTTTCTGCAAAACCAAAAGCAAAGCAATTCACCTTCTCTCCGCAGATACAGACTCGAGGAAAACAAGTTTCAATGGTTCCTAAGGTGCTTAACCTGCCCGTGACCCTACTCTTCTCCGAGAAACATCTTCAAAATATCAACCTGGAAAAGGTCGCCGTCTGTTGTTCGGTTGAACCGACGCGATGGCTCCACTTACCCCGCAAGACGTACCCGCGCAGGTGCAGCAGCAACAATCGCCGAAGTCATATTCGCATTCTGAATTGTTGTTGGAACTGTCGCACAGCCCATCCCCCTGGAATGTTTGGAAAAAGAGAAGCGAAATCGTTAGAGACAGAGAAACCCAGCGTCAGGCGAGCGAGTTGTAGAAAACAACACGCGAGAAACACGCATTGAAGAAAAGGTTCTGATCTTGAGATGGCTATGGTGCATCCCATGGTGCATCAGCAGTTCCCGGTGGATGACATCAGCCAACAAAAACCACCACCCAAGCAAATTGATCGGCATCGAGGACAATGGAATTTCAGGGCACCACCACTATCTTGTCTACCCGAAGTCCTACCGTTCCATGTCTTGCCATTTGAGACCCACAACACACACCACCACGAAGGACCTCTTATTTTTCTTGAGGCTCGTTCTAGTTCTCTGCGGGGTAAGCAAACAACTGGTACCAATCAATACATTGTATGTTCTGTAGCACCGACGCGAAACATTATTTTGCAACAACAAACTTGCCAGAGAAGATACCAAGCAGCTACCGATGCTGCTCGTGAAGGTAAACCCTGAGCTCCCGTAGCTCCCGTAGCCACCGCCGTAGGTGAAGCCAGCAGACATGGTTGTCCCGTAGAGAAGGCCCAGAAGGGAACCGAGGACGTGAGAGGAACGCACCGTCATCATCGTACGCATGCTGCGAATCGTGACCGACAAGATTTGTTCCCGCGGGAGAATTCGTCCAGCCGTCCCTGCCACAGTCGCACGCGACGGAAGGTAAAAATATAGGTTTCTAATAGTGAGCAATAGACTATGCAAAGAGCAAGTGCATTACAGTAGCCCGTTTGACCGAACCGTGAGTAGGTACGCACGAAGAGCATGTGAAGAGTAGTCACGTGGACGGCGGTATGATTGCAGTAACAGGTTGAATCTTTTCCGTCGCGACCCTGGGCGAACTGAAGCGTGTCGGCAATTGATCCAAAGACATAAACATAGCTATGGTTCTTCAGGGTGCACACGAAGAAATACTTAAAACATTTCAACACGTGCTGCCGGTACCTGTACCTTCATTTAGAGCGGGCCGGGCGAGGGAGGGGACTCTAAAATCAAGTGAATGAAGAACCGAAATACTTCGTACTCCGGAGTAGTCTACAGTTGTACCAGTTTTTGTTTACCTTCCTACTTCGACCACGTTTATACCTTGTAGACTGCTACGTGGATTTGAATTTCATTTCGACTTCTCTAGGCTACTAGGTGAGTGTTGTTTTCACTTTTCTTCTTCCACCCTTGGGGGCATTTATGCGTACAACCTGGCTTCCTGGCTTCCACGCTTCCACTGCCTGACCAAGCCTGCCGGGAAAAATAAAGAAAAATCTGATCGTGGAATGATGAATCATGCGCATGAACATCTTGAACAACCCGCTTCCGTTGCTCGTCCAAGCGAATACAACCATCGAGGGGGCACAACCCACCTGGCAATCGAACGCGTTAGTGGATTGAAGACGGGAGGTAGCATGTACGGAGCTGCGTTTGGTCTAAGTTCAGGCTGCATCGTCTATATGGGATATGACACGCCTGTGGTTCTTCGCGAAAAGCGCCGACAGCCACAGCAAGCAGCAAGTACGTACGATGAATAACAAGAAGTCTCTCCTCGAGCGGTCCCTTGGTCGTGTGATCCCTTGGCTCGTGAAAGGGTGCACCGGTGGTGAGCTAGTAGTGTGGTGGTGATGAGCTGGTTGGTGGTTGAGGGCAGCTGCGTGAGTTGGTACTCTCTGTTACTTTGCTGCTGCTGTTCTTGGCCTGTGGCGTGACGCAATCGGTGGTCCCCAGCGGAAGAACGAAATATTGGAATCTTCCCAGAACCCGGACCCCGTGTGCAGAATGACGTGTTGTTTGCCAACTCGCAATGAACTGGAGGTTCGGTCTTGCCGGTGGGACCCAGCCTGAAAACGCACATGCATACACAAACACCAAGCCTAGCGGTCTGTGCGGGGCAACGTCTCCGATGTTTGCGGTATCTACCGTAATTGCCGTGGGATACATCTCCGATCTCCGATAACCTTACATACCGTACACAATTGTTTTTTTTATTTTTCTTAATATGACACCACGAAGCCATCTCCATCATAGAAAAGAGTCTGAGACAGATTAGCAATGGATTCATAGCGTCAGAAAAGTACCTGTATGTCTATGATTTCCCAGGCAGCATATAGGGACATCTCCCCTGCGGGTAACAGGCTCAACAAGACAGTTTGGTGGTTGTCTTGTGTGTCACAATTGTTGTAAGTTCTTGATGCCATGCTCACTGCCTGCTACCAGTACACGTCATTATTGTTTCGTAGCAACAAAGATAACTCATCACACACGAATGGACACAACAACATGATCCCCACTCACCCGGGCCACTGAGCCCGTAGAGATCTCTCCGCGAACACCCCTTCGTCGTGTAACCCTTGGCTGGTGACAGAAGCTATATGGGTTGTCGTTGTGGCTGCGGTCGCCGGTGGATGGCAATCAATCGCATTTTGGTCATCAGAAAAAAAAAGAAAAAAAAACAGCAGTTGACGGGCAACAAACTCTCCGCACTTTTGATCCAACCCACCACCCACCTTCGCACCTAGGACACGGGGGCTCGAGATTTCTGCGAATATGACGTCGACATGTTCACTGCTTGTTGCATAACAGCAGTATATCGAGACAGAGACGCCCAGAGACAGGTCGTGTCACCGGCTCTCAGCCTGATGCTGAAGAAGCCTGCTCAAGAAGAAAATATAATGCGAGGGAGGCGTGCGTGAGACACGCGAGCAGGAAACTGGCACAACCAAAAAAATGTTGACAGCACTGTGAACGGCAAAAGGACACCAGACACTCTAACATAATCGCCCTTGGACAACGGTGTTGGTGCACAGCAGCACACCCCGTTTTTTGCCAACAGGACAGCGAGCAGCAGGGCGTATTGCGATTCCAAAACAGATGCTGCTGCTGCTGTTGTACTGATACATTGCGCTCATCAGTCACTCCGCTCCACCAAGAAAGAATGAACGTGAAATTAGCTCAGTGGGGAGCGGAAATCCGACCACTCACTGCTGTGTTGGTACAGGTTTCAGCAGCTACGGTTCAGTTCATTTTCCCTGTCTCGCTCCTTCTTTCCTCTCTCATCGCTCACTAGCTCACTCGGAAGGGACGCGCGCTGCCTCTATGGTTCGCTGCTGCTCGTTGTCTGTGTGAACGTGGAAGAAGTTTCGTACCTGTGGGTCGGGTACTTCTACCCGCCAAACAAACCCGCGCAGATTATTATTAGAAAGTCTCAAATACCATGACACTGTAGTGCACCCAGAGTGGCGGACGCAACTACTGCTGTAGTACACGTGCAATACTTAAAAGTACAACGCAGATGCTACAATCCGAAGAGAGACGGAGAATCAGCAATCCGTGTGTGTGCATTTTCGTGGTGAGACTTGGTACTATGTACAAACCACACTTATCAGTGTATTTTCCGTACAAGACTACAACAACCGGCCAGGGTCACACAGGAGGGGGTAAACACCACACACAGGGTTTTTCTCTTCTTTATTTTATTATCGCGTCCCACCTCCCTCCTGCGGTGCGTGCTGAATTTTATTTTAATGGCGAGAAGGGTCCAGCCGTCCGTCCCTTGCCCTCGTCGACGGTGCTAAACGTCGACGTTTGGTACTCACGAGAGCTTTTTCTGCTATGTTTCGCTTTCACCCATAATTTTTTTTATTTTAAAAATTTTCACCCCATCGAATCCTCATGGTATGGGGATTCGAACTCGCGACCTTTGCGACTAGCTGTTTCGAGGTTTACCCTAGACCACGGGGGCGACCAGTCTATGTGAAGGAACAAATTGAGTCTCGTTGAGGATACATGGCCTTACCGCCCACACCTACCTCTGGGTAGAGTGCTATTGTACAGCAGGAGTAGTCTAGACGGCAACGTTCTCGCGAAAAAAAACGGAATCAAGGTGTACCAGGTGGGAGCAGGGCTAGAAGGCACGCCTGCTACTATTACGTACATACGGTGTGCCCCGCGGTCTGAGAGCGCAATATTCCGGCCGCCTGGAGTCAATGGCAGAAAGAAGACAATTTTGTAGATACCAATCGCACGCTCTGGAGCTCCAAAGAGCGTGGCAGCAGAGGAACGCGTGCGGCAGGGGAGAAGCAGGCGAGGGCGTGGTGCACACAACGTTAGGGTATAGATCTAGTGACGCAAGAAGCATTGACTGTAGGAGCAAGAGGGGTGTGTAGTAGTGTACGTGCGGCCACCGTGTGTCCGAGAAAAACAAACAACATCACAACAAATAAATCAAGAAACAACCAATGGGCCTGACTGAAGTATCCAGGCAGGGCCAGTTTGTACCGAGCGAGGGGTAGAGAGTCTGATACGGCGAGGGGGGTGAACGAAAATGAAGCAACAGTCGGCGCGTTGTTTGTCACATTAGCAAAGTATGTTCACCCACGAGTGTTGGCAGCCCCAACGTGTCGAAATGTGTTGGAACGGCATTCGAGCACCTCCCAAGAGCGCATGCGCTCACGCGCGCACGCAAATGCCCGTCTGTTCATTCGTCGTTGAGGAGTCGTGCAGCTCTTCCACTCGGCCGGCAAAGGTTTGGAGAGCTGGCGTGTCTAGGAAGGGATGTCATTGTCGCCCGTGATGATGCGACCTTCCGTAGCGAATTCCTCGGGTTCTGCGAAGGAGGGACGCATGTGACGGGGACCGGACACCAAGAATCCTGGTTGCATGGCTGGTGGTTGGCCAAGGAGAACGCAGCGCATGGCCACGCTGCCTGCGGGGACACAATATTGTTCCTTCGACGATGCCAATCGGCGTGAGTGATGCTCGCTACACCTTCCATATTGGAGATTTCTCCAAGTAGTCGGCAGTGTCGCAGGCTGTGACGGTAAGCGGAAGCGATGCCAGCAAATACTGGCGTCGCCATTGCGAACATGGGAGGACTGGTGGGCGGTTCTGTGGGAGTGGTGTCATTGGCCGTAATAATACTAGACTAATGACTCGCATTGAGTATTCCAACAGGGTACTACAGTGGGAACATGTGCAACAGGTTACAGCTCGGATAGCGTAGACCGTGGTGCCTGGCTATGTCGGCGTGTAGATGTTGGGGGCGGTTGTGATGGAGCCGTGGTAGAGATGCCGAGGCTGAAGAGCGATGTAGGTGATCAGAGGTAGCTATCCCCTAGAAGATGCGGCTGCACGGCCATGTGCACTTCTTGAAGACGGGAGGGATCAAGCGAACAAGGATGCAACCGAGGAGGAGACAATACCGGTGCTTACAGGAATGACTGAAGCGATCTGCATATAGTTTTGCTCGGGGCGTTGTCGACTGGCAGGTTGAGCCGGCGATGGAGCGAAGACCAGAGGGTGCCGGTAAGTTGGAAAGGTTCGAGAACTTGGTAGGTACGTGTATAGCTTCCGTGCTCTGTTGGTTGGAAGGCCCAGCTGGAGACGGTGGGTGTACAACAACTATTTTGTCAAGTCCGGCCGGCCAGGAGCAGGAGGTGGTAAGTGTCGAAGTGGACCATCCATGTGCGTAGACTGGCGAATAGGCACGATCTGCGGCGATTGAATACTCCATACCTTTTCGGAGCTTGTGCCAGCGAAAATCCTGTGTATTCGCTGGCGTCAATGGAGAACCACTCAAGTTTTCGGTGTTGGTATTGGGTAACTCGCAGCCCCGACACACCACTGTACCATACGGACAGACCCACAGGGGGTGCGACCGCTGGCTCGAATCATGTTAACACCCTCATAATTCGGCATGTCGATACGGTTGTCCTCTGTGATGCCGTGTGCTGTGGCGTGCATGGGTCAAGTCTTGGACAACAAGTCGCCGTTACCATTGGAACCACCGGGGCGGCGCTGCAGGTTGTACTGGTATGCCGTCAGGAGTTCAAGCCGACGCTGCACGCGTGGGTTGATTGTCGTTCGAGGACCTGATTGTCGTTTCAACCCGGGCAGTGTTTTCCCCGCAAGTGTCATCATAGGCGTTTGATGGCCCACGAAGGAAGTCGCCAGCTTCCAAGTTTATTGGCGTTCAGTTGCGTTCGGGGTCAAGTGGCGATCTGCCGATGAAAACGATGAGGCGAATGGAGTCATCCGGTTGCTCTTGTTTCAGCACGGTGCCCAGGCCGTTGAGGCTGGCGTCGCAGTGGAGGCGGAGAGGTCTCGCGTGGTCTTCGATTCTTTTCTTTCCAGTCAAGGAAGACGAGAACCGGGGGTTCAGACTGTTTCCTTGAGGACCTCTTGCACGATTTTCTCCGTCTCAACAATGAGGGCGAGTGATGAAGCGTTTATCTTGACAAGTATCGTCACGGATCGTACCCGTTTGACCAGTTTGTTGGTGCAGCTGCGGTGGTCGCATATAGGCAGCGGAGAAAAAGAGCGAAGTTGTTTGACACCTGTCAGCATTGGTATGGCCGCGAGTGCACCTGCTTTGTTTGCGATAGACTTGATGTCGTCGGGGCCCTAAAGCAGTGCCGAGTGAGGTTGTGGCGATGGTGGCCATGGGTGGTGAGAGTTTCAGCTTGCATTTGCGCGGCCGTTGGAGCAAAGCTCACATGGTACGGAAGTAATCCGTGGGCATTTTGTCGTGGAGGACGACATCATGCTGATAGGCCTCCTCGCCTTCCAAGATGACCTCATTGATGACCGCCTTCATCCACCAGCCTGTAGACTCGCTGACACCCATTGGAAGTATGAGCCACTGAGGAGTTCCACAAGAAACTCAGGGCCGAGAAAAAATGTAAGAACTTGTCTAGGAGAATAGGTGCTCAAACTTAAAGCTTTAAGTTTCCCCCACAGCGGCAACAAGACATGACCCCCCTCGGCAAAAACAAAATAAGGTTTTGGTTAAGCCGATACTGACAGAGTTTTCCAACAGTACAGATAACAAATGTTTAGTTATACATATGTTTCGTGTCGAAGATCGAGCCTTACGTGCTTCTCTAAGTACATAATATAGGTGTAATTAGGGAAGTTCAATTTTATACTTTTGCGTAGGAGGGTGGGTGTGGATATGCATAGATGTTGCATGTTTTTCGACTTCTGCCGATGATGCAAGACGCACGATGACTCTGCTGCATCACGATGATACCACATAGAGTCGGTTGCACAAAATACCACGCCCCCCCGAAACGATTAGCGATAAACAGCGGTACCGTGACGGTGCCCAAAATGGCGTCGAGAGGCTGCCGAGAACATGTACCACTTGATTGCTTGATTGTAGCATCCTCTTGGTCGTGTAGTAATTGAGCTTTGAAATTCGGTCCAGGTGCGTGTAGTGTGGATTTGATGTACATAACGCATGTTGCATGATGTGAAATGTGTGATGTGCATGTATGAAGGAATATAATAAAAACACACACAGAAAGACCACCCATATTGTACCCACAGTCGAACGCATGTATGTATGTGCGTACGCATCGTTCAAACAAACGCTGATTCATACATATGTGCATATGCGCGGAATCCACCGTAGTTTTCCGGAGGTCGTCTCCAGATACAGAAGCCATTTACTCGGAGCTTCCTCCATATGATGCGAAGAAATGGGAACAACAGTGGGGACGGCACATAGGCGCTTGGTTGGCAGGATGCGGAGGTGAAATATGTTACGCCTCGCGGCCAACAGCAACTGCAACTGCTGGACTGCTCGACGCCTCGACGCCAGGGTACCGGCATTCCTTGGCGGAGCCCCCTTTTTTGGCCGCCTTTGGTGCCTTTGCCTCCCTCCACCACGCAACTCAGCACTCATTAAAACGTACCCGCACCATCTGCCGTCGCACAGTCACCATTCCGGCACCTCGTCCCACGCGCTCATAGGTGAGAGTCAAACATGTGAGAGTCTCCCGTCGTGACTTTGTTCGTGCCCCGCGGTGGGTAGAGGTGAACCGAACACGTACACACCTACGCATACCCCCACACGTGTGTGACGAGCAGAGATCGAGAGCAGACACGCGCGGGTGCTGAGCAGCTCATCGTGTGAGAGGGGGAGGAGGTTACGGAGCATTTGACCTCCAGACGCACACATGATTTCAAGCGAGGTGGCGCACAGCACACAGAACGTCCTCCTCTCTCCGAAGAAAGGGCGCGCACAGATGCTCTGTGGGGTCTGGAACGGCTTGCATACAGGCCATGCCCCGTGCATACACAAACGGCGTAACATCCCCTTCACCTTTTCGTGCTACTGCTGTAGGAGACCGTGCTAGCACAGCACGGAAGTGATTGGCCCCGAAATTGTTCGTGTCGCCTCTGGTGAAAGCTGGTGCTGGAATTGAGTTTAGATGAGCCACAGCCTCATGTAGACCTGCTGTAACGTGTCGGTGTTAGAACCGAGTCGTCTACAACCACAGCAGCGCTGCGGTAGCCTGCGGCACTCGATCGAGCCTCGCTTCACACAGGACGAAGCAAAGTACCACTGCTGTTGTTCTGCTCAAGCGGGACTCGGCCACACTACTCCTCTTGGTGCTGCCAGCTCGGCTCACTTTGCAATCTGTAGAGTCGGAGAAACCTTCCACCTCTTTGTAACGTACTTAATACAAATACGGTAGTAAGCATCTACTTTACCAAATTCAGCGGCTTCTAATGTGCTATAGCATTACACCGCTGTATATACGGGAGGATAAAGTTGCGAGAAGTTGCGAGAAAAAACGCTAACTACGGTATTCCCACAACTTTTCTCGTGTACGCTCTTTGTGTGTCAAAAATTTGCCCCAAAAGTTTGGAAACTTTTCTCGCTACAAAAGTGCCGAAAGAGTTTCGCGGCGAGCTTCCGCCAATCCACGTCAAGCACGTACACCAGACCCCACCCACGTAGACCCCCTCCAGCTTCGGATTGGGAAGGCAACCTGTTCAGCGATATCTCGACGAATACTAAACGAGTCGCCTCATTATCTGGAAGGAGGTGATGCCATGAGTTGATGGGCAATGCCAAGGTTTGGTTTGGTTTTCCACCGATAAATTTCCGAAGGAGGAAGCAACAGCAATAGCGAGGCCACTCGGCGGGAGGTAGCTCTCTGCTCCATCTTTCATGCCCAAGGTTTGGTACCGGGGGGAACAATAGGGGTATCGTGAACATCGGGTTGTTTTTTTTTGTTGGCCCTGTTATGCCCACATCAGAGAGCGGTTGGTTCTAGTTCGCGGGGGATTGTGTGCTCGTGGTATGATTTTCCAGCGACGAATTGTCTAAGGAGGAAGCAACAGCAACAGCAATGCCACTCCTAGGGCGGTAGCTCTACCCAACATATTTCTGGTACCAGGTTAGATGCCTTGAGGTATCATGAGTGTGGAGAAATAGGTTGCAACTACCCTCTCCCGTACGCTCTGGCCCGGTTTCTTCGCGGTGTGGTATGAAGTGTACCTGCTTCTCGCCGTTGCTTAAAATAAAGAGATCACGCCTCCGCATTCCACCAGTCCCGTGTGAAGAAAACTTCCCCCGCCCCAAACAGCAGTGAGCGTGCAACAAAAGTGTTTTTGACGAAAGTTCCCAATTGCAAGAAAACTTTCGACTTTTACCCGAACTTTTTGCTATTAAACATACAATAAGGTGTTGCGGATCCCCGTGCGATGATTCGAGACACGAGGCAAGGCTATTTTTTTTGTTTAGCCGGACAACGCCGAGGCTCGCAGCCCACCTGTATCACGTGTCACCACCCACCACCAACTGTTTCGCAGATTTGTGGCGGCCGTTTTTATCTGACGGTTAATTATTTTTCTTTACTTTTCTGCTTGGTTGGCTTGGAAAACGAAATGGGCGTAGTACGGACGCAAGAACCATGCTAACGGAAGGAGACGGAATCTGTGTGTTGTAGATGATGCCTTGAAGTCACGCAAACATGTCTACTCCCGCATGTATCCACATCGCGTCTGATTCACCCCACATACAAGGCTGCACGGTTGTCATTTATGGGAGTGGCTCAACAGCTCTGCCGCTCCTCAAGTTGCGCTATCGTATTATTGTCAATATTGCAGTAACCGAAAGGTTACTATTAGACCGACACTCAGAAGCCAATGTGATGACAAAATAAGAAGAGATAAAAAGTGTACAAATAGATAATGAGAATGGCGTGGTCGAGAACAGAGGTGCTGTGCTCGACCTGCCACACCAAAGCGTGCTCTGCTTCTGTCTGGAAGTACATGGCAAGGAGGAAAATGTCAACAACAGCAGTGTTTGACTAAACGCGCCCCCTCCCCTTGTTTGGCCCACGTTCCGTACCGTAACGCAGGTGTTCCATCCCCAGACGGGTTATTTTCGCATAATCTTTGTCAGCCCGCCGTCGTGATCGAGTGCTGTGACGAGAGAGCGAGGGAGCCAGCCTTGTATTGCGAGAGCTTTTGGGTGTGTGTTCCGTTGTGGTTGTAGTTTGATGTCAGGCCTTAAGCAGCGAACCAGCGCAAACGCCAAGGCGATGAGCCCAGGCGATGGTGCTTCTAACGGGGGGGAGCTAGCCGCCGCGCCCCGGAAGGGTCTGCCAATGGAGGTTAGTTGGCGTTCGGATTGATGTTTATGCTGTTGTTGCGGCTGTGCATGTTGCTGGTCCTGCTGGTGCTGGTGCTGTTGCTGTTGCTGCTTTTGGTTGGTGTGGGTCTGCCCTGCTCTTTTTCGTCGTGCCTTTGTCCGCGACAGATTAGCGGTGCTACAAAACACCGCCAGTACTTGCCCCAGAACCTGGGGAGTCTAACAACCTCCGGCTCGAAAATGTCGAAGGTTATGTACGGACCTTTGATGACCAGCAAAACATGAGCTTGTTTTTTTTGTTGGTGTTTTCGAATCTTCATATTTATTTTATTTATCGTTTTCTAGATCACCGGGGATAGAGAGGGGGGGGGGACCAGCTCTAGAAACACCTCAAGCCTCGCGCTTGAGTCTCCCTCACAATTTCGTCTCTATGTACTCGCAATCAATTGAATCCAGCCAGGGAAATCCGACTAGAAATCCGACCGCTCCTACTGCATGCAGGGGTCTGGAATGACCCACGTCGTCAACCATTCAATTCACCCAAACCTAGGTCTACTCCAGACTACTTACTTCCCACGACGTGCGGTTAACCCTTCACCTCCCATGTCTTTTCTTTCCTCTCGTTCCTAACCTATTCCCATTAGTCAGTTTTCGGGACACTCGTCTCGAGTCCTCAACATTGTTCTGAGCGTACTGTTTGGCCTACCAGTGTCCGACGACCATTCATTCTGAAATTCGCTATCAGCAAGGTCTACCCCCGATGCCGTAGCCCCCCCGACACGTAGTGGATGTACTGCGTAGTGTCAGGGAGTTCGCCCAGACTCGTCAACATTTCTTAGCACACCCAGCGCTCTACTAGTCCTCCACCCCCCCCCCCCCCCCCTTATCCCGAAATGAAAAAAACAATGGGATCCGGCACCCGGGGAAGACCATGAAAAAAACTCCCGAAAAAGAGCAACTGCCCCGCCGATTGCGATTGCCCCCAACTGCGGTCCAAAACATATTCCAGCGTCCGCACAAGAATGTTTCCTCTCTCGTTTCTGATCGCCAGTGTGTCCTCTGTTTAGAACGAACCTCCATCCGGTACGTCTTGCGGTAGTTGCGGGAACTCTCGTTGCTTGTTGCCAGACATCTATTATAGATGTTGCTACATGTGCTTGTGCAAGACAGTATAACGCCGGACCCCCCCGCCGCCGCCGCCGCCGAGATTGCTGAACGCGAGGCCTTCTGTCTGGGACTGCATCTGATTAAACATACCTAGGATGAACACCGCGGCGTGGTTCATCAAACGCAGGCCCAGATCGATGGCCTCGGATTCATCGTTCTTGGCGGCGGGGGGTTCGGCGTGTCACTGTCTTGCGCGACCTATACCGTATACGACACTAAATAGATAAAACACCCCCTGGACCGATTTTCAGAGCTCGACCACTCCACGACGAAGAGGATGCGTAAACGAAACGATAGGTTTTCGGAGAGCTCTCGATCAGACGGTTTCAACGCCGCCGTTTTCGGCGCTGCGACTCTTTCTGCTGTCGATAAATCGAGCTTTCAAAATCGGCCCAGGGGGTGTGTTGTCTAGTGTCGTACACGGTAAGCAATGCAACAGCAGCTGGATTAGCTCAAAGGAAAGACAGAGCATCGGTAGGATGAAAGCCGCGGCGTGATCGATCAGATGCAGGCACAGGTCGATAACCTCACTATCAAAAATATCGGCGGCAGCGGCGGTGCGATGTGTTTGCCATGCGCGTCCACGCCTGTTAGGCGCTAGTGGAGAAAGTGTGTAAGGTACGGCCAGCCGATGGCACACAACGTGGCACATCCAGCTCGTTTCTCTTTGCGTTTGTTCTACACCCACCTGACAAAGGGGCCCTCTTGGTTGCGTTCCCTGACAGCCAGGAGCCAGTTTGTCACGCCGAGTGCCTTGCCAGCCGGACATAAGAGACATTTCTATACTCTGTGGCCACCTTCCTATGTTGGCCAGCGCTTTGTGTACTTGGGCGTGCTCACGTACTCTGCGGTCCTCTCCCGTGCTCTCGGGCGTGACGACCCGCGACAAACGACGCACTACGTGCTCTCCCCCAAAAGGTGTCTATTTATAGAAGGGGGGTGCGCGGGCACTTGTCGAGAGTCTTCCACACCGTTCGGAGCGTACGGCGTACAAAGCGTCCGACCACGTATGTTCTTTATTACGTTCGCCGCTTTTTAAGGGCACATTCACCGAAGAGGCCGGTTTGCTCGCGCGTGAGTCGTGTTGGACGAGGTCGCCCGCGTCGCCATCACCCGTTCACCAACGCACGGTGCACACAAGTTGTTCTGCTGCCTGCGCTCATGTTTTTCGGTCCCGTCTACAACTCTTTTCCGTTTGCTCTCCTGTGCGATTCCGTGTGTTCAGGTTAAGCTAGTAATTTGCGTGCTTGGCATCTACTCGTGCTACATGTTGTCGGGGCTCCTGCAGGAAAACATTTTCCGATACAGATCCGAGGATGGCGGCAGGTGAGAGAGAGAGACAATAGGCGGCGAGAGGGCAAACAATTGCCGGGTTTGGCGAAGCGACCCAAGGTGGTGTTGACACAACGGAGACGATCGTGTGGGGGGGGGGGTGGCGTCAATGCATCACTACGCGGAGTCATTGATATCCTCAGAAGAACTCCAGCCAACAGGTGTGTCTTGTCTACGACTCAAACGCAAGGCGCTTGTTGTGATTGTTGAACCCGGCGACAGGTTTTCGTCGACGCTGTTCCTGCTGTGGGTCCAGTGCGTGGTAAACGTCGCTTTCTCCTTCGTGGCCATGTTCGTCAACGGCAGGTCTGGGGACAAGGTGTGTGTGTGTGCGTGTGTTGCTTTGGTTAACATGGACTGCGCAGACCGGCTTCCCAATGAACATCCGTCAGCTTTTTACATGCACAGCGGGATAGCAAAAAAACAGAAAACGGGAAGGCGCTCAGGCTTCTGCCAACAGAAAGGACTGTCTCTTTTGTTCATACACTTTCGTTGTGACATTTGTATGTGTCCCATGATAACGTCTTGTTTTCTTTTGGGTTTGTTCGGGGGTTTTCTGTGATGCCCGAACCTCGTGTGTTTTTCTCCCGACGTGATGCTTACGGTTGTTGCGGGGTTCTTTCCTGGAACCGCGTTTTTTTGTCGGTGTGAGTACGAACAACAGCTTCCACTGGGTGGGTAGGAATACCGCGTTGCCACTACCTTGGTTTTGCCACTGAGATGCCATCTCGCTTTATCGATGTTTTCCTTTTTTTCATGGTGTAGCGGCTCCGGCAAGGTCGAGATGCGTAGTTTGTGCTCCAGTGATTTCCCCGACAATCTCACTCTTCTGACTTATGACACAACATTTTTTCATCTCTTCTCTTCCATCAATTGTGTGTGTGTGTGTTTTTTTGTGTGTGTCGCAGATGCCGCACCACCTTTTCGGCACGGCCGGGTTCGCGTACATCGGTGCCATGGTGTGCTCGATCGAGGCCCTCAAGTACGTCAACTTCCCGACCAAGGAACTGGGCAAGTCTTGCAAGGTGACTATTCAGCTGACTTGACAATCCCACTAGACTTTTTGCGTGGGCAACTGCCGAGTGGACATCCATCGTATTCGGTCCGTGGTGTCTTTACCATCAGTGCGGTATTGTATGTTTTGATGCTGCGGAAGATATGTGTCTCGTTGGAATGTACACGGCCTGGTTCACGACCCAGACCAACATTTTCCATTTATGTCGTGATGCGTTCGCTCGACAGGTTTGTGTCCCGCCCCCAGCGATTTCTTTGTAGGACTTGTCCATGCCAGTTATTGATAACACAACAGTTCTTGCACACACCGCCGGAGACTCCGCAATCGATCGTTGCTTCACCCCGCTCGCCGCTTGCTTCCGGTGTGCTTTTGTTTGCGAGGGCAGATGATCCCGGTGATGTTGTTCGGAGTGCTGTTCGCCAAGAAGCAGTACAGCTTGCAGGAGTACCTGTGCGTGGCCCTGATCACGGTTGGCATCGTCACCTTTAACCTCTCCGGGAAGCCGCACAACAAGGAGGCGAGAGGAGTCAGAACCAAACAAGTTTTTGTATCCATCACGTATGGTAGAAAGATTTGTTACGATTTCAATTTGCCCGTTGCTCGTTTTCTGGAAATTTTTTCATGTAAAGCTGTAGTGGGTCCCTGTGTTGGGCCGCGTTACGGCAAGAGGGCTTTGCCCGCGGCCGTATTCTGGTTGCTTAGACTCTTTTCCATTTGCTTCGTGACACGACTTGGCCAGCCTTTTGCAAGACCCACTACTGTAAACGGTGAAGCTGCCCTCGTGTGTCTGACTTGTGCACCTTTGCAACCAAATGACGCCGGACGCAGGTTGAGTCCAGCCTGTCTATTGTTTCCGTTCATTTCCCCCGTGCAATATACGGAGTAGCAGCTATGTGTGTTCCCCCTCTCTGCATTTTTGCGCATGGTTCGGCAATTTATTGCGGGCCCTCGTGAACGTGATGCATCGTCCTTTGTCTCCTCCCTTGTCTTCCTTCGTCGTATTTAGGACAAGGAGAACAGCACGTACGGGCTTGGCCTCTTGGCCTTCAGCCTTATCCTCGACGGCGTCACGGGTAGCGCTCAGGTGTGTAAACTCGTGTACCGTAGGTGACACAAGATACCACCCCCCCCCCTGGATCGCTCGCTTGCTCCACGATGAGAACGAGTTAATAGCCAATCGATGTGTTTTCGGAAAGCACTCGACGGACGGTTCCAACTCCCCCAATTTCTGCACAGTCACTCATTCTGCTGTGGAGAAATGGGACGTTGAAAGCAGTCCAGAAAAAAGGAGCTTGAGAGCATGATTTTCAACCGTTACTGTTCTTCTCCCGTATCTCCTGTTTCGTTCGAGGGCCGACCGGAGGCGTGAGGTTTTTCGCAAGACGCCAGGACGAGTTTCTTCAATGAGTGCGCAAGAATAATTCAGCCGACCTCGACCTTTCACCGTTATAATATTTTTGTTGATGTTGATTCAGGAGCGATTGAAGGCCGCGTGCAAGCCCACGGTGCACGAAATGATGTTCTTCATGAACGCGTGGGCCCTGGCCATCTTGTCGGCCGCGGCGTACCTGTCGGGTCAGGCGGTGGAGGGATACGCGTTCTGCTCGGCCAACCCTTCCGTCATGGTGAGAAACTAACTTCCGAGCCTGCATGACCTACTCTTGGCGACCCCAGCATACGACGTACTGAAGTAAGAGACTGAACGCCATTCTGACTAGCCTTTGTGTTTTTTCAGCTTTGTGGTTTACCCGCGTTGTTCCATAGCATTCGAGAAAGAGACTGAAAACTACCGATGTGCTTATGTTTTTTCTCCCAGCACTTGATTGTTTGTCCCCACTTCGTTCAATGACCTACGAGGTGTAGACTGACAAGTATTGTCAGCATTCTTGTCTTCCCCGTCGTTATAAACGCGTAGCCAGGCTGCGGTTGGGTGTGATTGTGAGTTGGAGGGTAGGGGTGTGTTACGACCCGGACCGGAAAGTACAGGCTGATTCTCTCTGCAATGATCGATCGCCTCAACCGCTTGTACCGGTGGCCACGTGAGATGTGGTGTCGTGTGGCTAGCTCAGAGCGGTGCAGTAGCATCGCCGCGTTCGTAGCCAGTCCCGTTTTCGTTTTCGGTTTGACTGGGAGGAGGAAACCAATACGATGCGTGCGGTACACGAGCCGAGACGGCAAGTGCCGTACCCTTTTGAGGAAAAATCCCCCCCGTGAGTCTTGTGCACGAGGATGGTCGTGTCCCCCCCCCGGTCCTGCGTGTGTCTTTGCTTGCATCTCTGTATTCGGTGCGCCGTTGCTCTCGGGGATCGCCTGGTGGCGAATGTTACGGGGGTTTTTTGTCTTATCTGTACTGCGTGCACGTTGGTTGAAGTTCATGTGACACGATGACGACACGACCGAGCGGCTGGCCCCTGAAACAGTCAGACTTTTTGCAATAGTGTGCATGCATGTTTTCCCATTGTCAAAAAATGCATAAACCGGCCCCCGTTTTTCACCACCTTTTCTCGCGGCACAACTATGTACTTGAACAGAGCTACGTGCTGGGCTTCTCCCTTGCATGCATGCTTTCCTATGTCAAATGCATTACAACAACCGCCCCCCGTTTTTCACCACTTTTTCTCTCGGCACAACATATGTACGTGGACAGAGCTACGTGCTGGGCTTCTCCCTTGCCGCGGCCTTCGGGCAGAACTTCATCTACTACACCATCAGCAACTTCAACCCGCTGGTGTGCACGACGATCACCACCACGCGGAAGTTCTTCACGATCGTCTGCTCCGTTATCATCTTCGGACACGCGATCGGCCCCAAGCAATGGGGGTAAGTCTGGGTCTGTCTGTGTCTCGCCGTTTGGAGTAGCGTGTGCAAGCGCGTGGTCAGTTCGCCCTTTCTCAATGCATGCCACTCCGGACGACCTGTACGCACCCCCTGTTGTTCTTGTGGAGAGAATGATGTAGTCATCGGTAACAGTGAGACAGAGCTCGGAGCCATGTATCAATCAGACCAAGAGCGCCCTGTAACACCCTCTTCCCGATTGTTCCGCGAAAAGCATTGCGGCGGCACGAACGTGTCCTGTCCTGTGATACAACCTGCGTGTTGCCCAGCCTGGTCTCATCGATCGCGCTCTTGCTTGCCTTGTTCGCTTTGGCTTCGGCTGCGACTGTTTTCTGTTTTTTTTTTGCCCTCGCAGCGGAGTGGCGATGGTGTTCACCGGGATCGGCTACGAGATGAGGGGAAAGTATCAGCGGCACCACGCCAAGAACTTGAAGGCTTAAAGGCTTAACAACCTTGATGGTGCCGCGTTAGCGTTAGAGGCTTGAAACATGTTGATGATGATGATGGTGATGCCGCGTTCTCTTGTCGGGACTGGGCGGTGCCGTGCGGGCGACGCGGGGAGAGAAAGAGGAGGGAGGGACGGGAGGCGCAACGGACAGCAGCAGCGGCGAACGCGCCGAGTGCTGGGTTGACAGTGGTTGCGATGCTGGCGTTGGAGGGGGGAAACAGGACACAAACACGACGGGGCAGCAAGTGTTCAGTTGTCTGCTTTTTGGTCGGGTTTGTGGGGGCGTAGGGAGCGGCGGGGGATTGAGAAAAATGGTGCCGCAGGCACCACCTATAGCACCCAACCCCAATCCTGCCTACCGCTCGATCTATGCTTTGATGTGGACCCCCATTGTGAGGAGGGAGGGGGGCTTGGCATATTTCGAGGCCATTATTCGGACGCTTTCTGACCTATACGCAGAGCTTGAGCCGGCCCCGATCGACAATCGTCGCTAGATTGCGGTGAGGTAGGCCCCCTTGTGGTCGTTTCTGTCTGTACATGTAGTAGCCCTTTCGTAGCTCTAACTAGCGGGTGTTTGTTCCAATTTTTAGAGGTTTGCCTCCGTCGGCAAGAATATGTAACCGGTGGAATCCCCGAGAAGCTCCTCCTGCCGATGCAGGAATAGAAGTGAGCTGCGGCTGTACTCGCGGGAGCCAGTAGTGGTAAAGGTCAAGGAGAAACCACCCCGGCGGCCAATTTTGCGACCTTTTGAGTTGGGCAAGAGACGAAGGGTAGAGGTTGCTGAGCCCGGCTGTAGCAACTAGCTGATGTTCAATTGCGTAGTTTTGACAGTTGTGTTTTTGGGTGGAGTCGGGTAAAAAACATGGAAGAAAACACAGGGGTAGTTTTTTTTTTTTTACCTCATCAAAAGGCGGTCCGCAGCGCACAACGGCATGGCATGGCATCGATCAGTCGAAGCTATCCCTTGACTTCCGCGCGGTGTAGCCCAACGATTTGGTGAGCGATGTGCTGCCAAAGCATCGCATGCCTCCGACGTGTCTCTAGAGTCAACATCTCAGAATAGCATCTTGCCTGTTTTGTGGTGCCTTCATGGGGGGAACAACGATATGTCGTGTTCTTGGGCTTGCATTCCTGCCCAGAGGTGGTAGCTAGCGTCTACCAGAGGGAGTTTGGCGGCTGATGCGACAAGCTTCGCTTCAAAGCTTTATTGTTGTCCCAGTGTGCACACTACAGGTCAGACGATATGAAGTCCACATTATCGCGTCATGTCTGTGGCGGGCTTCGCCTTGGGGGCGCTGGAGTCGCTGGAAGCAACAATGTCCTTTCATTTGCACGTTGATTATTTGTCGCAACCCAACGACTGGCGGATCTATAATGGCGAGAATGATTCGGTGTGTTGCTGTAGACTAACTATAATTGGGTGCGTAGTCATCACATAGAGGAATAGGAAGAGAGAGGGCAGTGGAATCCACATTAGTATCAAGTCGATGAATCAAATTTTGTACACGACTCCCATCTTGTTGCTGCCTGTTCGCTTTCTTCGTGACCATGCCTTGACTTTTTGCCCGCTGTTCGGGACAATTGTAGAATACAGGCGGAACGAGATCGCTTCGGTGCCGCTCGCTGCTGACGTTTTCGTGTTCCGCTGCGAGCCGTATGCGCCATGTCTGGCCGCACTTCAGAATCCATCGTTCTCACTTTGTATATTGTAGTCACGCACAATGTTTCGTTCGCGGAGTATTGCGCAATCGCTTGGGGGTGGAAACGTGTGGATGTGTGTGTAGGGGTGCGTGCTACTTTCTTGGATGCTCTCTTCTCCCTGTCTCGGTAGCATTTGTTCCGTTTATCTCTTTTACCAGAACTATACCACTGAAATCCCAACCTGTTGGCCGTGGTGGAAAGATCAGTACGTACAGAACATGTAGCCCTAGACATTTGGAGACATGACGAGTTCGTACCGGCAGAAAACGATCCAGCTCGTAAGGTAACCATGTGTGTGTGTTCGTCCCATCTATTCTGGCGCCAGCCTACAACAAACTCTCGGCGAATATATGTCACGTATCAGCCTGGGTCACGAACAGGAAGGTCTGTGTAGTGTGGGCCTGGAGCCAAAGGCTACCTTGGTTTTGGTGTCGGGTCACTCCGCTCCTCTTTCGAACGCAATTCCATGCGGCCGTTGCTCTTCTAAGCGCGAGCTCCTCAATTTTCACAAGCATACGTTGTTACTGGAGTAAACTTGGCAGGCAGTCAATGCCACAGTGGGCTTCAAAATTCTAAAGAGAAGCAGCCGACTGTCACTCGGTCTCTTCCAAGCGCCGTACGCCGCGTCAGATTCCAGCCTCGGATTCACAACACATTTGGCTGACTAGACTAGATCCCCGGTTGTCGTCATGGCCCGTACTTCAACGTCGGCAGCCCGTAGAGGACAGTGCAGAAGCGGGCTCTGGGCTTGATGCCGACGTCACCCCGAACGGCCGCCAACGCGTTCCCCAGGGCAAGGCCCTCTTCGCCCCAGCCCCGAAACAGCGAGCAAATGACCCTCCGGTTGTTGTGCAGGGTGACGGACCACATGTTGAGAACGACGGACTGGCACCTGGAAAACCACGAAATTATGCCGGGACAACATTGTTCACTTTGAGGTTTGTCCTTTTTCGAAGTGCGCCCGCAATCTACTCCCACAGCCGCTTGTTGTTGTTCAATGGAGGTAGATACTTACCGACAGTGTCTATGAAATGTCCAGCATCATCGAGGGTATCGCTTGCTGCAGCCCAGTATTTGAGAATCCACGTATCGGGAACAGGGCTCTTTGCTCTCTTCGTTTTCTTCTTTGACCTACTAGAAGTACGCACAGTACCCGAGGAGGTTTTCTTCACTTGAGTTTCAGACGGACACGAGAAAGAACAACGCGAAAGCTGTGCTTGAGTGTCTGGGAACGTGCTCATGTGCAGACGATGGGTCACCCTTCAAAGTCGCCACTCAAAGAACCGACACAATACTGTGCGTGATTGATTGTGTCTTGCTTTAATCGAAAGCGCTCAAGTGCAGAACAAGGACTACCCTTCAAATTCGCCAGTCAAAGAATCAACGCTGCTGCCGTAACTTACCCCACAAGGGAGAAGAGAGCAGCCGTCTGAGCAGGCTCCTCCGCCTCCAGTTCCTCCGGCGACTTGAGCGTGTCCTGCTTGCTTTCCAGCCGCCGGCTAACGCTGGTGTCCGCCCGATCTATAAGGATAGCGGCCTGGGGAAATGGATGGGGTGCGTTGGTGTGAGTTGTATGCCCAGACCATCTAGGCCATTGAGTTCACACCCATCGGAATGAGCACATTGCTTGAACACGGTGTGATGGAAACATGGCTTGGAAAGCTTGTCGGGCCACCCGCTGACCGAAGTATCCACACCTTTTTGGCAATGCCACCAGAGCCGACCACCAAACCTTCTGGGCCGTCGTTGATATGCCGCAGGGCATGTATTCTTGAAGAATGCCCACAACAACAGCATGTAGCATCTTGCCGTTGTGATGCACTCACGACTGACGGCTAATTAATGTAAGAGGGGATTCGATACCAACCCACTCCAAAATGTATCACCTTGCAGCTGGCGCTGAGCCCCACCAGGTGCTTCGGGGGAAGCTTTGACAGGCACCGGCCTGGGCCGTAGTAGACGAACCCTCCCTCACCGGCTGAACCGTTGCCGCTGATAAGTGACTGCCACTCTCGCACACCTGGACAAAATACATACGAACAACGCCAACTTTTGCTTGTAGTCTACATGACTACAGTTTGCGCGGTAGAAACAAGATGGGTAGCCCGGGTAGGCTCGCCCTGTGCACAACTCAAGCGTTTCTGCGTTAAGGCAAACGAATAATGGGCCTGTTTCAGGCAATCTGTATATTATCTGGTTGCTTTATCCCATCCTTTCTCAGCCGCGATAGGTGCAGTCTACATAGTTCCAATTCTGTGCGCAAACATGGGGTGGCTCGAAAAACAGGCGATTCTTCGAGACAAAGAGCGGGGAAATAGCAAAACTGGATAGCTCGCTTTAGGTTCTAGGCACACATGTCGCCCGCCTTCCTGGTCGACAAGCTGGCATTGCAAACCTAAACGCGAGCCTTTTCGCGCCCACTCGTGCAGACCAGAATATCGCCCCGCTACATGTTGCAACCGCTGCAAGCAATGGGTAAACTCAACCAATTCTCTTTCCTCCCATTCTCTCCTTAAAACCGATGTGCGTGTCTTCACAGCATACAATAGTCTACATGCATGAAGGCCTTGCTTGGACGGGTGTACTCAATCTCGGCGTGTGGCCGAACGACTCTTGCCGTTCGTTGCCTACAAAGAAGGCCAATCTGATACATTTTCTGTCAAGGATTTGAGGTACATCGCCGCCGTAACCGGAAACGGGCGATCGATCGCGTACCGGGTATGTGGTCGTCACCCCCCACCCCCTTCCATGCGGAGACCTTAACGCTTCCTCCGCTTGTGCCCTTTTCCTTGCCACCCCCACCGCCATCTTGTCCTAGAAACGAACACCGTGCGAGCATAAGTGAAGCGAAATCGAGGCTGAACTATCGACCAAAACAATACTGGCATGTCTGAGAAACCTGGACGTACATCCGCATCGCGTAGCAAGTCGATGAAGTGATTGCAACAAAATGCAGGAGGGAGGGAGAGCATCGCACAAGTCGGGTGAAGAGTATCCACGACCTGGATGAGAAGATTATGCTCGGAGAGGACCTAGAAGGCGCGAATATTGCGTTGGGGCTTGGGGTTTGCTTGTAAACGCCCGCGGTTGGTGCGTGGGCACATTTTGAGTTTGATCCAAAATCTATCCACCTACACCCGTGGCTTTGGGTGGGCAACGGGCTGCAGGAAAAGGGAAAAATGGGAACCTTTTTCACACCCATTCTCACCTACGCACTCTCGCAGGACCTTCAAAATGGGCAGCCTTCCGCCCTCTTCCGGTTGGCCTTCGGTGGAGTTCTGTTCCTTACCCCCTCCGCCCTTCTTCCCTTTGGAAGTAGCAGCACGGCTAGGTGTGCTGACCTTGGCGGCTTCCACGGGTGGTGGTGTAGGGGGAGACACCCCCGGGTCTTCCGATAGGGGGTCGGCGACGTAACGCATGTGCGCGTTGCTGATGACGTCGTGCCCTGGAGTAGCAGCGTTCGTCGTCGCCTTGAGCCTAATGCGTTGTATGACAGTCATCCGATCAGGCAAGTGACGCTTTCATTACTAGTGCCGTGCACCATTTTAGGTGAGATTCAATGGATAATTTGATTTGAGGGTCAACGTTGACTTGCGCGTTGGGATGCACAGCTTCTCTCACTCACGGTCTCGAACTTGTTTCAGGGTGTTGTAAATGGGCCTTGACAATAGCGACATCTTTGAATATAGTAGCCTTGAAAGGGCTCTTCCTGCGTAGACAGGCCGGACATCTCGGATAACCCGCAGTGTACGATTCCACACTTGCGAAACTGGAGAAGAAGGAATCGAGGAAATCTTTCCACAGCGAGCGACGGTCTGGTGCAAACATCTTCTATCATATCGAAAAGGCGAATGCAGCCGAGAAAGCACTCTGAGCGACAATTCCCAGCGAACGTGACAAACAGGTGCACCGGAAACAAACTCCCCAACCTGTGGCACAGCATGTGGAGGCTGAAGTCGCGAGAGACGCTCGAAATCCCGCCCACCGCCGCACATGCCTCCACGGGGAGCTTCTCCAGCTTTTCATCCATCAGGAGCACCAACGACAGTTTCTCCGCCCTGCAGCGGTCTAGAAATGGTGCGAGTCCCTGATTCGGTGCGTTGAGAGATTCGCGGCGAGATCGTCGGGGATGTATCGGAGTTTGATAGCTTTCCTGCTGGGCGGCGCCAATTTGTACCGTACCTGTCGCGTTCCCAGGGTTTTAATCTTGGCTGCCGCCGTCAATGCGTTGAAACTCGACTTGGATTGGTATGTTCGAAACGTACTAGTGCCGAAGCATTCCAGGTTTAGATAGCCCATTGCCAAGATTGCGGTGACAGGCCCGTGAAAATTACATGGACTTCGCGCTCGATCCTGTATTTGTCGTCCCTTGGCCAAACACACTCGAGCTGGGTTTGTTCATCTGCGAACTCACCCCCTCGACACCCTCCGCCCAAAGCGGGGACAAGGCGGCCTGTGTCTCTGCAATGATTAATTCCAGTTCGGACTCGCAATCTGCCGCCGCGAGACGGCGCGGAGGAAGAGCAACGGTTGCGGCTGAAGACGATGACGGGACCTTTGAGGGAGTGACTGTCTTTTCGACATCGGTCTTGCTGAGATCGGTGTTGCTGCTGTTTGTGGTGCCGTGCTTGCTGTTGTGGTAATGACGGTGGTCGTCGTTGGTGTCGGTCTCCGTGTCGACGTAGTCGCCTTTCTTGCCTTCCTCGTCGCATTTCTCCAGGCAGTACCGCTTCACCGAACCTGATTTCGATCAACAACGGTTTGAGCCGTCCACGAAATATTTTTTTCTAGGGGTAGCATTGCAAGGTGTTAGCCATTCCCGTCGATCGGCGGGACGAGACATGCAACACATTGGAGAGGCATAGGGTAGCAAACCCTAGGCAACACTCGCGTGCAACATGGGTTGTTCTGGCCCTGTTTATGGGAACACGCGTTCGAGCGTGAACATTGTACCATTCGTAGGAACTGCAACTTTATTATTTACGGTCGGTCGGTTTTCTACTTTTGCTCACTCGTAGACCCCGACCTTCGGCGGCGTCTTGGGCTCCATCCGAACTCACCTCCAAACGCCTCCATCCGTGATCCCAGCTTTGCCAGCTTCCGAACCTCGGTGGGTTTCATCTCGTGCCGCCAAACGACAGCACCATCTCCAGCTGCACTGCTGGTGCCTGCCTCTGTTCCACTAGCAGGCTCGACCGCCAGCGACGGTACGGGCGCGTATCCCGAGGCGTAGAGTGTAGTGCCATCGGGGGACACCTAATGCCGAGGGCGGCGAGCGGAAAGTACGACTTGACGAGGTGTTTTTTTCTTATGCCGCCGGTCAATGTGCTTTTCTGAAAACACAATTGTATGTAGCCTCTGCAAGCGTGAGCGCATGTAGTCGGTTGCGAATGAGACATCGCGCTCTCGACGGCACGATGGTTGGGCGTACCGGGGTGCTCTTACCTGTAGCGATAGAACTCCCAGCCCCTCGGGCAGACCGCGCAGCGACGACGCCCAAGGGGTAGATTCACCGGCACACTCTAGCCGTCTCCACCCCTCCAGGTAGGCCGACAGCATTTGCTCAGAAGCTTCGGCGGGCGGGAAATCGCCTGTGCTCGAAGCGGTGCCCTCGCCCGCTGTTCCGCTCGCGGATGCCCCGGTCTCCGACGGGGAGGGCACAAGGAAGGGATCACACTTGTCGAGATTGTGCAATCCTCTCAGAAGCCCTGGAGCCGGCGCAAAGGCGATGAGAGAAGGGCGGGGGGGGGGGGAGGGGAGGTTGAAAATATCCGTTTGCCATTGGAACAACAACAACAATGCTCAAAGTTGCGTGCCGTAGACCGTATTGCGATTTCTGCGTTTTTGTGGCTGTTGTTGTACCTTGCGCCGCAGATACCCGGTCCATGAACAGCCGGTATCGGTTGGACTGTGGAAGGGCTCCTCGCAGAAGACGGAGCATCCTCCCTCGCGCTCGGCAACTCTGAAACAACCACACAATCACGTCGACACACCCAAAGGGTGAATCAGTTTGTAGGGGATTTGGCTGATCGGAGACAAATCTCAGCCTCAGCGCCGGCGTGTGGTGTGTGGTGTGTGTTTGGCCGGAAACGAGACCAAAAAAGACAACCTCCGTTCACTGCAAACGTTCGACATTGAATGCTTCATTGACCTGGTGAAGCATGAGGGCGGCGGCCGCAGCGGAGGCGTCGTCGCCGCCCAGCATCTCCGCCAGGGCGAACGCCGCCACACCGGCCGCGTCCCAGCGCTTTGCAGCCACGGCCGCCTCCATGGCCTGCTCGAGCTTCCACCTCGCCTGTTCCCGTAGGTCGAACCCTTCCTGTTGTGAATAATGCACACAACGTCAACAACAGCAACCATGCCAATCTCAACATGACAATATCTTAGGATGGCCGTTCTGCGAGAACGGCGTCGTTGCATGCTGCCCCAGCTTACTCTTTCCTGAAATTGTGGAACGACTCTAGACTGCACAAGACGACACAGAAGGGCGCGGTGAGGATGTGAAATTTATTCGTACGTGGAGGCGATTCTTGCGTCTACCGTCCCTGAGACGACCACACCAACCAAACACCTGCATGGGCAGAACGGGCGCGGGTTCTTTTTCTTCTTGTGCTTGAGCTGCTGCTGCTGCAGCAGCTGCGGCCGCTGCGCCTCCTTTGCCGCCCTTGGCTTCCTTTCCACCTTTCCCTGCTCCTTTTCCACCTGTCTCACGTCCAGGTGCATCCATGCGTGCGAAAGTTCGTAGATACGATCGCATGGGCAACTTGAGATACCACAAGGTGAAACAGGAACGAACAGATGTCAAGCAACAACATCAGAGTAGCGACCGACGTGAGGAATCATTTTCCCTCCGCCGTCGCCGCCGTGTGTTGCTGCACATCTATCGTGCGGACACGGACACCACAAGCGCAACGCAATCCCATCGCACGCGGTCGGCCGAATCCCCTCGCCCGTCGCCCATTCCTCGCCCCGTGTTGACGTATTGGCGCACTGGAATGTCGGATTCCAAACGAGCTGTCGAGTAGGCTGCGCACCAAACCTATTGGCACGCGTGGTTTAGCGCCAGAGGACAATGCGAAGCGGTATATCCAATGCCCTCGACATTCATGAAATACATCGATACCTTCTTCGGCCGAAACGATCACACCCGAGAAGGATTCATACCGTATCCTACTCCGGTGAACCATCGCTCAGCCTGCCGTGTTCTCTACAATCTGCACAACTGCTATCACCAATTGTGCGCGGATCACCTTTCGCGGGGACGGGCTCCGCTTGCACTGGAGGCGTTGGAGGTCGTGGGGGTGGGGGCCGCGGGACCCACGCTCCATCAGATAGTCCAGCTGGGAGCAAGGAAGATAAGACAGGTGGGGATTTTGATCGACGGGACGCACGCGATAGAGTGCAGTGGTGCGCAATGCTTAGCACCTCAGCAGTACAAGCCATAGACGCCAACATGTTGCCGGTAAAGGGAACCTTGCGAGAGTCGAAGAATCCTCACCGCAGAGTGATGGCCATGACGCTCCTCGTGTTCACACATTCAACACAACTGATTCTCGTTTAGCTGGGATCCACACGACTACGAGAACGAGTGCGGTCGGTTCTCGCCGTGGGACCGGCCGAGATGGTTCAGTCTACGCATCGAGTATGGGGCAAGCGTTTCGAGCATGTACAGTACTCGTGAAAGGCGGCAGCAAACACAGATGTGATGAGCTCAAGGACGACATACCTCGCGAAGCCAGCAGCGCGAGCGCGGACCCTTCCCACGCCAAGGTCAGCGGCAGCAATCCGGGATTGGTTGTCACTCCGCTCTTGCCCCCAGAGGAAGATGACAGACTGCAGCGCTCTCTCGCCATCTCGGCCAGAGCTAACGCCTGTTCGATCTGTGGCAGTGACATCTCTTCCACCGTAGGGTGTCCCAATGGCCTGGAAGCTTCCATATACCTTTGTCGGTGATTGATGTGAAAATGAGGTGAGGGGCGGGAATGTGAACAACCCTCGTCCGCGCGAAAAGAAAATCCAAGCAGTGTTCAGGCAGTTGTCCTCCATTCGTTTGTTTGGAGATGGTTCCATCCGTTCCATCATTTTCAACTTGTTGCGCGGATAGTGAAACGAACGAGAACCATTCCAAGCACATTCAGGTTGCTTCGTGGGCTTGACCTACCACATGGTTGACACAGGTGCAGTCTGTCATTGCCGGGGTACCTTCAGCGAGAGGGACAAGTGAGGGTAGTGGGTGCGCGTGTTTGAACCATTACCACCTACTGATAGGGACGGTACGGCGAGTGTCTTGGATTTCCGGCCACGAAGACAAGAAATAGAGACGACCCTGGCGAAGAGCAACAAATCATGAATACATGCGGCGTATCTGTGGCCCAGACCGAAGCTATCTGCGTACTTCTGCACCGGCGTGACGCCCTCCCTGTTGGCGGCGGCCTCCGCTGCCTGCGTAGAGCTGTGGCCGTCCCCCTTGGCCCTGCCTAGCATCGCCCTCACGCACGCCTCCTCCAGCTGGACCATCGTCAGGCACCTGCCGAGCGGGGTCGAAACGGACCCGGCAACAGCCGGAGTCGTAGGTTCATCGGCGGGGGTGGCGTCCGTCGAATCCGCGGCAGGCGAGGACGCCGCCGCCCCGTTCTTGCTCTTTCCCTCCGCCGCCTTCTTGCCGCCCTTGTTGTCGGCCGCCCCCTTTCCCTTTTTCGCCCCTGCTGGTTCGTCTCCATCCTCGGTGTTGGCTGGAGGCGCTTCTGCTGCTACCAAGGGCGGGGGTGACGACAAGGCGTCCCCTGTAGGCTCGGCCTCGGCGGCGAGCGCGGACAGCACCTCCCGGGCCTCGGCGAGACACTTCGCCGCTTCCTCCAGAAAGCTCACCTTCGGACGCTGCGGCGACCCATGATCGTGGCCACGGTTGTTGCGCGCTTTTGAGGAGGAGGCCGAAGACGACGACACCACTGTCGTTGCTCCTGCTCCTGCCGCTCCTGGTGCTGCGAGTGATTTCGCCCAACAGCGCACCCACTCGCGGGCCGTGTGACGGAGGACAGCGGGTAGAGCCGGGTGGTTGCCCAGGGGGCGAAGTTTGTCGGCAGCATCGCACAGGATGCGGACAGCGAGAGGGGTCGCGGTCTTCTGCCCTTGCTGCTGCTGTTGCGGAAGGATTACAAACACAAGGAAGGAGCATCCATGCATGATTTTCTTGACGGGTCTCTTATTAGGATAACCATGTAAGAGGAGACAGACACTGTAGGAGGACAATATCTGACTAAAATCATGGGCTTTCCTTCTTTAGCTGTTGGCTGATATTTTTCGGCGTTCGTTGGCGACGAGCACCACCTCGGCCCGTGGGGGGCGGAAAGTCCCACACAGCGAGAAAATCGCTGTTGCCGCGACCCAAATATAGTTCTACAACATCACATGAGCAAACAGCAGTAGCACCAGGACGTAAGCAGCAGAACTCGCTACATCGGTAGCATTGTCAAACCATATGTACCAACAACCATCATTCGAGATCATTACCGTGCTCCTGCTGCTGGCGAAGTCTTCGACTGCGGCAGACGTCGTTGTGGCCGAAGAGTAAGCAGTCATGGTGGTACCGGTCCTACTGGTGCCTCGGTCGTTGGCCTTCGTAGCCGTCCCCACCTCGGATGATGAACTTTGCGTTAACTCGTCCGATGCGGTAGAAGCTTCGGCAAGCAGGCAGACGCACCTAAGTCCAAAGAAACCGTCAAAAATATCCCATGATTCGTTAATGAAAGCTAATGGTACGACTCCCTGGGCCATCGTCGGCAAGTGAAAATTAAATTCATCACGAAGGCAACCTGATAGATGTCCGTGCAGCACTCCCTGTGTGTTCAGGGCTGGCAACAACTGACACTCGTGCAAACTTCGAGGCGAACCAGTCGAGTCCCGTGGCCTCGGCCTTTGGGTTAGGGCTGAGTAACTACTGTAGTGAGAAAACACCCAGAAACGAGCATCCCGAGCTCTCGTACACATGGAACATTCAACAACATTGCCGCATATTTCAGTGGCTTGACACCGCTGTCTTCGGGGTTCAGGCTGTGTAATCTCACCCGGAGAACGCGATGGCAGCATCAAGATCCACAGTTTGCGAGGGCGTGGGCGGAGCCCCACCCTGAGGCTGGGCAGCCTGGCCGCCTTCAGCTGCCGCCGTTGCTGGTGCGCTATTCTCCGCCTTGTGTACGCCCCGGAATATGCTTCTCTCCAGGGCATCGCAGGCAGCCTACACGCAAACGTGGTAGAAGGATATTGTCATGGAGTCATCGACATGTGGCGGGATGTGACGGTTAGCCTTTCCTCTTCATCGACATCGAATCACGTAGGCCAGAAAAGGATGGAGTGAGAATCACCGAATGAATAGTCCCGACGAAGAGGAGAAGCCGAAATACGCTTCATGCATGAGGGCGGGAGAGGTGGGGGCGACCGGCAGTTCATTGTTGGTGGGAGTGACCCTCATCTTATCCGAGTCGTGGTCCACGACAAGCCAGGTAGTAAGTGCAAAACTGATTGAACAAAACAAAGGTTGGTTCTACAGAGAGATGGCGAAACAAGGATTGAAGGAGGCACAACGAATAACTAATCGCAAGAACAGGTTCAGCAGGGGTTAGCGTTGGGGATTTCGAATAGATTCAATACTTTTTACCGTGGGGAGAGATTTTGAGGAGAGGTTTTGAGTGTTGAGGCTTGTCTGAGGCAACCATAGCCTCACCTGAAGAGTTTGCCGAATTTTGGCGTCACCTGTGCCCATCTTGCGCATCATGCTACCGATTGCTATTGCCATTTTGCCCCACCTGCGGTTTCAACCACGATGCGTGAACGAACGCATTGCCTCAGTTATTAGAACCCTGGAAGGTATCCCAGTGTCAGTAACTACTGTTCATGTTGATGTTGCGTTTCTCTTTTCTATGAACGGCGTCGCCTTGTGACTACAGTCTCTGTTGGTTTTCCTGCTGCTACTTTTGTTCGTCTCAGCTAACGCCCCGCTGCTCTGAATGATCGCTGAACGACATGGGTTTTGTGTCTTGAACCACCGAATCCATGTTGCACACATCTGAACATATTCACATTTCCCCGCGGCAATTTACATACGGCGGGGGTGAACGTGTGTACGTGGCAGAGGCCAGCGAATCTTGCGCCAAGTTTCGGTTGGAAGCAAGAGGTTGGCTACCACTGTTCATGCTTCGAGAGAGTTGTCCATTCTCGTCACTGTGTGTAGAGTGAATGTTGGGCACATTGTGCGGTGTTCCCCCACCCCAGAAATCAGCATCCTCAACCGCAACATAATGTATCGTCACAGCCAAGCGTAAACTAGTCAGATCTGACTAGTCTAATGGGGTAATTTAGGCTTCAACAATAGTTAGGCGTTGGTTCGACACCCAGGCTGGACACTTTGAGGCGTTTTTTTTTCCTGAGACCCTGAATACTCCCGGCCATAGTATGGGTGGCGGAAGGACTCGTCTGACACCCTCAAACGTTCTGCAGGATGTGGGTGGAGAGTGATATGAAGCGAAATAAACGGATAGTAGCGCTGGCAAGGGGCCTCACCCTCCTCGGAAGTGAAAACATTTTCGGGGCACACGAACCCCATGACTAACTCTTGAAGAAGCCGAAATCAAACAATCTGACCCTATGTGAGCGCTACACATACCGCACAGCGGTTGAGCCGGTCACGCCGAGCGTCTTCAGCAAGGCCGATGCCCGCAAGAGGCACGGAAGTGCTCGATCGGGGTGCCCTTGAGCATCGCACAAAGCCGCCTGAGCTTCCAGGCAGCTGCAGAGGATGACGAACGAGGTTATAACAAGGATGAAGAAGCGGGTTTTTGTGGGGTTTCGGAGAGGGGGACATGTCGGAAAACAGGTCAAGTCTGCTACCTCGCGTGCTGTTGGAAATAGTTCGCGGTGAGTGCCACGTGTTGGTCAGGGTGCAGTGATGATCATGGGAGCGCTGGGCAACATCTAGCTCTTTCTGCCACCGTGGGTAGCATAGAACTGATGTGGTTGGGATCGCGCAGCTATCCTTAAACCGGACATGGCTCCACCGCCATGACAGCTTTTCAATGCCAGGACACAACCGGTCTCACCTCACGACGTTGTTCCTGTCATGGAAGGCGTCGTTGTGGCGATGCGCCGCCGCGAGATACTCGGCTGCGGCGCGACACTCCCCGAGCTGCACTGCCTCCGTAGCCAGCATCGCCCAAACCTTCCTATCTTCAAGGTTCCCTAGCCGTGGAACCTCCACCTCTCGCCCTTCCGAATCATCGGCAACATCGTGGCTTTTCCGACCCACCCCCACTGCTGTACGTGGATCCAACCCGGAGGATGTGTTGTTCAGGGTGCTGCCGTCGAAACGCGTTTGTGTTGACTGTGCAGGGGGAAGGGATGAAGCAGCCGAGACATTCCTCCCAGGCATTCCGGGTTGTTGTTCCTGCTTTTGCCATGGCTGTTGAAGCGAGTATTCTTTCCGCTGCCGCAAGATTCGATCTACCTCTGACCCTCTCCGTGCGGCCTCTTCCGCGGAAACTCCCAGCGGTCCTGCCGCCGAGGCCGCTTGCATGGCCGCCTCGTGACATCTGATGACAACGACGCAAAAGATTTAGGATATTCATTCGGTTAACGGCGAAAACCTGAACGCATGTGCACGCCAAGGCATGCCCATGTCGAGATACACACAAGCGTGGCCTAATATCGACATCTCGTATTCGGTACGTCGTATGCACACGAGAGGGCGTGATCTTCGGCTATATTTGATGGCAAAAATCTTGTAGAATACTACACAGCAATATCCATTCGCCGCGTCACAGTGAAACGAATCAATGTCTCGATGGTTGTTGCCCTCGGAAAGTGGTAGGTCATCGTGGTCCCAAGTGGGTGGGTGGGTCATTAACGCGACCCACGCTGCAGCGCGTTCGCATCACCCTCCCTGTATCCTCAAGGAAGTCGTCCTACACATGTGAACTTCTGGTCCTCACGTCGGCCCGAGTTTGAACAGCAATCTTGCCCTCCGAAGGCGCGCCAGGGCCAGCGCCGGAAACACGTTGGCGGAGCCGTCTTCGCCGACATCTTCGGCCCCTTTCCCATCGGTGCCGTCACCCCCGCTGCCGCCGCCACCTCTCCTGCGGGCCGGGCCAAGGCACAGTCTGGCAACCAGCTCGGCCAGGGCGAGGGGTGCTGCCGCGTGGGCGGCCAGGCCGTGGGACTCCATGGTCTCGGCGAGGTCGAGCAGGTGGTGGAAGAGGAGCGGAGCTTTCTCCATGGTGGTCGTCGAGATGACGAAGGGCTCCCGTCCAGCCGGCGGGGCTGCCATGTACCGGTCCAGGTCGTCTTCGCCGTTGTCGTCGACGCTGTCGTGGTTGTTCTTGTCACCGCCGTTGTCGTCCTTTGGTTCTACTGGCACCGGCTCTAGCCGCCAGTAGGCCCAGTCCCGCAGGTGTAGCGGGGCTCGTCCGCCTGCTGTGGAATTACGTCGGCCACTAGATGACACGACCGCCGCTTCTGCAGCTAGTAAGGTCACCGGCAAATTGGACAGCGCACGTTAGTTTTGATGTCAATAATTGTCCGTGCGACACTATGGCACACAACGTTCAATGCATGAGTCAGTCGGAAAGGAAACGACTCCGGAATTCAGGCGGAGACTCAACAAATACCGTGGTGTAACAACCAGCGTTATACGAATAATATCGGGAAATTGAACCCGCACAATACGCATCGGCTGCCAAACCCCAAGCACAGAAGCAAGGCAGGTAAAGCGGTGAGCCGTCAAAACGCACCCAAGGGAACCACTAGATATCCATGAACGACACACTTTTCTGTGCTGTCTATCTGCCTGTGGTTGTCTGTCTCACTGTCTCGTTCTAAGTGCAATGAGACGAAATGGGCTAGCGACGCTTTGAACAAGCACCACGTCCAACTCGAATCATTGTTTCCTTGTCTGGATCTCCAGTTCGGCTGTCAGACAGAAAAGGTACGGGGCGATCTGGCCCCGCATTTGACATTACCGGAATAAGGTTCGCCCAGAAACGCCACTCGTGTGGCTTGAAGAGGACATAAATTAGGAGAATATGGAAGGTGGTGAACACGATCACGACCACGACAATTGTTGTACCCACCGGAAGAGCTTGCGCACCATTCCTGGAATGCCGTTTCCCCCCTCTCGCCGCCCTCAGGCACGGACGCCTCGAACAACCACCGCCGGCGTCCGCACTCCACCGTCTCCTCCACCATGCCCGCCATCCGCCCGACGAAGTAGTACCCCTGCATCAGAACGTCGAGGCGCTCTTCGAACGTGGAGCAGCAACCGCCGCCCCTCGCGAGCATCGCCAGCGTCCTCACGGCGGTCTCGAGGTGCCCCATCGTTAAGGCCTCCGGGTATCCGTTCTGGTCGGAGAGCGCCGTGGAGGAAGAGGCGCCCCCCTGACAAAGACGGTTCGGTTGTGACGGGGGCGGGGTCGTTTGGCATCGATTGTTGGGTACCTTGCGGCCAGCGCTTGCTGTCGTTGTTGCCCTTCTACTGTGCGGCCGGATTCTCTTCGATTCTCTCAACAAAAGACTTTCATGGTGCTTATCCACACGTGCCCAGGGCGACCGCTCACTAGCGAGACCACCGGAAAAAAAACGTAGTGTCGACAAGCAGGAGACCCTTTCCAATCGACCGCAACAAACCCAATGTTCCGGCATGAGGCCATGGGTTCGATAGGATGTGGGATATGGTTCCGCGTGCAGTTCGACATCGGGACAAGCCAAACCGAAGCGCAAGCAGTTATTTTCCTGCTGCCGCCGCTGCAGCCGCGGGTGTCAAACAGACGTGCCAACAAATTTGCAGTCCGTTCGCGGGTGTCTACGCACGCGCGACCACGCTGCGCAGCGAACTGTTCGCGCGGCATCGGCGTTGGTCGTGGATACCTTGGAACTCGGTGCCCCCCCCCTGCTCGACCCTCTGCTGCCTGCACCCCCCTGGCTGCCAAGCGATCGCTTCGAGGCCGCCCTTCTGAATCCACCGCCTGTTGACGGCTGGGTTCGGCTGTCGCCGTTGCTCTCGCAGGTTGATCTGCCTCCTTCGCCCCTGGAGCCATCATGGCTGTCGTCGTCGGTGTCTTGTGGACCGTTGTTTAGCGCCTGCATCGACCTCTCCTGGGCGGATACAACGAATATTATGAAGAATGTGAAACACAACAGCACACACGCACCGAACCGACACGAGTGGGCTGGAAAACACATGCGAAGAATGCTCTAGAAATGTTGAGCTGGATCGACCAGAGCTACCACTACGATGCCAATGCTGCTTGGTTCTTCATACAAGGCTTCATAGCCACTTTGCTTGGGAACCGATACCTTTCAAGCCTGTTCGGCACGAGTTTTTATCTCGACTCGAAACGACGAACTTCGGGCCGCCGTATCTACACAGGAATTGAAATTCAGACCGAAACAAGGTTTAAAATGTCCCCTAGCTGAGCTGACGGCCCACCTCTACATCGTAGAGCAGGTCTAACGCTGACCGGAAGTAGTCCGAGCCTGATTGCGCAAGGCCTCTGCCCATTGCCCACTCCCCCATTTCCACCAAGCAGTCCAACCTCTCGAACCTGTGGGAGTTTAATGTTGTTGCTGTTGTTTGTTGTTGGTGGTGTTGTTATTGTTGTTATGATGGTGGGTTGTCGAAACACGCTTTGAAAGGTCAAGAACAATATTTCAACAGAACCGTGGAAACAGTTATCTCGTTCAGCTCCAAGCAGCAACAAATTTGTCCAGTTCTACCTTTATCCAACCCCAACCCCATAAACAGTTAAACGAATACGCGTCAGCGTACCTTTCCCCAAGGCTCTCGAGGGCCTTGAGGTAGGCCGACAGCTGTTGTTTCGGGTCGCTCGCCGACCTCGCCAGCGTGCACCAGCTCTTACCCTGAAGAACTTTGTCGGACTCCTTTGTCTTCGCCAATCCGTCGAGGGACGTGATGCCAAGCCTTGAAAGGAATACCACGCGCCACTGCCACAGGGGGCGCTGTGGAACGGGGGCCGTGTATCCAATGGGGTTGGCGGACTACGGTGTGCGGAAGGTCTGTGTTGGTATCATGCGATCGGCGACACCCATCTCGTTTCTGTAGTCTCATCGGTTGTTTCCGCGTCTATTGGCTCGATGTGGAAAGACTGGCTGTGTCACGGGTGCTTAACATTCATTTTTCGGAATATATATTTTTTGCTTTGTCGGAGATTCGCTAGGTTCGTTGTGTTGTGCCGTGTCTCCTAGATGGGAACAGTCTCGCGTGCGAACCAATAACAACGACGAGAGCACTACCAGCAGGAGCTGGATCAGCAACCAGTAGACTTCACAATTACAGGTTGCCCTTGACAGAAAATATGCTGCGGTTGGGGGACACTGGGCCCACCAAACACTATTCCATAGGGTGACTTGCCGTTCGCAGCACCCCTCTAGTTGTCGGCGGCACTAAACACAAAGAAGTTCGAACATAGTGCACACCGTGCAGGCTGGAAGGTCTTGAGTAGGTATTTGACTGGAGAGGGGTCATGCGGCAATGCAATGAATAGCATTGAAGAAACAAAGTAGTACACGCTTGAATGTCTTCGCGTCAAGCTAACCGTATTTATTTCACAACGACACGGACCGACATTCATTTCCAAGAATCGGAAACAATTGTCGAAGTAGGTCGATTCACTATCAGTGATGTTGCTCTAGTACAGAGAGTTCAAATACAGCAGGCGAGATAATTCCCACACTGTATGTGTGTGTGTCTAACCTGGAAATCCGGCGGGACGCAGCGGAGCGAGTCGGTCACCACAGCCAGCCCTTGCTTCCACTCGGAACGATCCGAGTAGCACTCGAAGAGCAGGACGTATAGCTGAAGTCGCAACGCCCGTTCCATCGGCAATCACCCCCATGATCCAAGCCGGCAATGAAAACGAGGGAAAGGGCTTTACGAAAGTCGATTAGCAGTAAATGTAGTAATCTTGGCTGCACACGGGGAAAGCGAGGGCTTATTTGAACGATGGCGCGCACCTGTGTTGTGGAAGGTATTCACCGACGAAATGCGACGTGTTGGCATGCTTCACACAGGATTCTCTGAACTACATAGCTTGATCTTTAGAACATGAACAGAAGGACAACAGTTCATTGGGGGAAACGTAGAGTAAATGACATATATTGCTCCTTCCTGCTCCAACACTGATCCGCTGATCCTCATGCTGACCCTCAACACCTAAAGTGTTGCACTTTGGGGAGATTTTCCCTGGATTGTCGTTCTTGGGCCAGTGCAGGTGCTGTGGTTGACTGCAGGCATTTCGCACAACAACCTACAATATTCGTTCATACCTGAGCGCGAACAGCTCCCCCCTCGATGATACCCCCCTTCGCCATCTCTCTCAAAACGGCTGCCAACGCAGAAAAAGCGATCGCTCTCCCGGCCGATGTGTCGGCAAGGGGAAGTGCGACGTTCCAAAGACGTTTGGCCACGTCCAGGGTCACCGGTGAAGAGGAAGCGAGAGTGGCGAACTTGGCTGCCAACGCCAGGTGCTTCATGGAAACCCTCCTGCAAAGATAGACGCAAGTGAACAAGGAGACACAATCGAGTCGTGCTGCAACAAACGTTTCCCACGCCGATGTGCTTCGCGGCTGGTGCTCACGTCCCTGGCACCTAGACCAGGACTTGGAGACGGCCCTTTATCTTGCATCTTTGATGTCTGGGGAATAGCAATGCATAATACCATGCCTACCGAACGCCGCGGCTGCACAGACAATAATGCTACCTATACGGTTCTGCTTCATGGGATCCCTTCATGGTGAACCTGACGGCGTGTGCTACGACGTATACATGATTGCATGAGTGCCGCTGGCGCTCGGAGGGACAAATTTGGCCAGAAGCATCTTTCAAAGCGAGAAGTGCCCCAGATCGGTTTTCGACTCGACATGCAGGGCGTTCACTGTATGACTGTGAACACGCGCCACAGCCACCACTCAGATGCACGGCATCCCCAGCCAAATCTACCTATGGAAGAACAACCGTGGCCAATATCGCAACCGCAGTATCTCTTTTGACATGCGGGTCAATGTCCTGATCAAAGTCGTCGACCACATGAAGGGGACCTGCTCATGACGATCCGCTCTACCTCTCTCTCTGCATCATTTTAGGTTTGGAGAAGGAGATGATCAGGAAGGTAGCCATCCTTGGCCTCGATGTATGTTCGCCTTTCGTACACCAAATTGGATTATATCCGCGGTCTACGCGCCTCGAACGTGCTGCATTTCCGGGGCGAGGTTGTGCTTAACCAACGTATCGCCGTAGTCTGGCAGAGAATTTTCGAGTATGCTGCCACGTGAGAAGTTCACGTACGTCCACCGTCGAAGATTTTGATTGGCTGTGATTGGCCAGTTCCATCTTCTCTTGCCCTATATCGAATGCGCTACTTTCGGATGTTCTATTTGCCCACGATGCCACTGCACTGCCGTCAAGGATCCTTCATATATCTGCCTTTAACCTGCACGCAATCACTTGACTGCTTCCGTTTTTATGTCTAACATGCAGGTGCGTACTCGATTCACTCACGCACAACCACCATGCCCAGTTTTGTTTCTAACGCACATATCTCCTTATTACCTGCTCCCTGCAAGCGCGTACCTCAATTCGTCCTGAAGGGGCTTTTCTTGAGACTCCGGGGCTATCGCGGAGGCGACCGCCTGCCCCCACAGTCCCTCGCCCACGGCCAGCCACCTCCATAGCCGTGGATGCACCCTGCGGCGGTCGGCCGGGCTTTGGGGAAGAAGCTCCGCTACGTAGCCGCAGCACTCCTCCGCGGCCCTTCTCTGGCCTCTCGCCAGGCGCTCCTTGCCGAGGCGGCACCAGATTTCGCCGGCCAGCTCCAGCTCGGCCCTATCCTCTTCGAGGCTCGTAACCCGTCGTCCGCTAAGTGCGGCGAAGACGTCAACCTTTTCTGGCGATGGTGTTCCTCCTCCGTGAGCCGGTGCCGCTGAGGATATCCCCCCCGTCATTGCCTTTGTCGCATTCGCCGTTCCCCCGTCGCCTCTTTCCTTCGTGCCCTCGTACGTCTCCGTGACGTCGGCGTTATGGCCGTCCCTCTTGTTCCTCATCTCCCTCCTGTGTTGCTTCTCTCTCTCCTCTTCTTCGGCGTCCGCTATCGTACCGCGGTACTCGCGCATGACGGCGGTGCACTTCTCGACAAGTTCTTCGGCAGGCGGACCGGCACCGGAGAGCGCCGAAGCGGCGGTTAGCAGAGCTAGGGCCTTTCGTATTTGTTTTCATTGCCACCGTGAAGCACAGAACGGACATGCGAGAACAGCGTCGGGAAAGAGTTTAATACATCCTGCGGCTGACTCCGGGAGACTTGCGGTGGGAAGAGGTACCGCGTAGAATGGCGGCTCGCAACGTACACACCATCGTGATTCCCGTGCGTCACCCTTCGACATAGCCGCACCCCAAGCGCATCGCCATCTTCACCACCAACACCCAACCTGACGTACTAAACCACCCCACCCGGTACGGTCGCTGACGTCGGGCATCTAAACAATGCGAGCCAGTCAATGTGCCCAATAGCTCGCGAAGGTCGTCCCGAACCACCTTGACAACATATTTTTGCTACTGCTGTGTGCAACCACGCTGCGTTGTTATTGGGACACAGGGCGTGAAGATCGTCTCAAGGGGCGGCGATAGGAGGCCGTTACACTCGACATGATACCTTGCCCCTTTTCATCATCCAAGCTTTCAACGTGGTATGCCGTCGAGCAATCCTCCCGTGCATCTTCGAGAAAACTTGCCGTCCTTTATCCCACTTCCGAGAAAAGTGATATCCCTGTCTCCCCGCATGAATTCCCAACGCAATATGGTAAGGAATCTCGACAGCGCCTCATGTTGCGGAGCTAACCTGCAGCAACGGCCTCCCCTCTCCTGTCACCGCCGATGCTCCCGCCCGTTTCGCCTGGCACGCCGTGCGTACCTCCACCAGCCCCTTGAGCTCGGATACGTTGGCACGCCTGGCTCCCGCAGCACCGCCACCGCCGCCTCCACTACCACCGCCACCGGCCGCCGCCGCCGCTTCTCCCTTCTTTGCGCCACCTTTTCCTGGCGAAGACATCGACGACCACGTACGTGGCCATGGAGGTGATCGACAGGGAGGAATGAACAGGCCTCCCCCCGATGATATTCTTGTTTGGGGTTCACCCACCATGGAGTTTCCCCATTAGGGAAAGAACAGGAACACATGTGCGCTACTTTGGTATGGCGATGACTCTCCTGTTTGTCATGGTCACACGATGGTCGACAAGGGGCAGTGTTCTCCGTCCCCGGGTCGTCTCTCCTCACTCTCGCGGTACGAGCTGGAACAAATCCTTCTGGAACCTTTCCCGCCATGGAGGAGAATATGCGTATATAGTTGTGTGCCCAACCGCTCGCTTGCTCACCTGCTGGCCCTAGGTTCACAATACCGTACGTCACAAAAAACGGGGTCTCGTATACCCTTTGGGCTAGAGTGGAGGGGACATGCGCCGATACAATATTTATTGCATAGATGAAACTGTACGTTCGTATCCACACTGTGAGCGCTGATTTGAAGTAAAGAAAACAATACAAAACAATCGTGTGTCTGTTTCGTAGCTCTTCTTTCCTGACTGGATTTTTTCACCTCCTTGTGGAATTGGGTAACGACCATGCAACACAAGAAAGTAACAGAAGAACATAATCAGTGACGACAACATTCACCACAACAACAAAGAACACAACATCCCTAGATTGGCAAGCATGTACCTTTTGCTCCACCTGCGCTGCCTTTTCCTCCCGCCCCGCCGCCACCGGTTGCAGCAGTAGCAGTTCCCTTAGGGTTGGTGTCTGGTCGGTCTAGTGCCGTGATTGCCCGTTGGCACAGTTCCTCGGCCTTGGCTGCGCAGTGTCACGTACAAGATCGAAAATGTTTGGGGACAGAATCGAAATGTTTGATCCCGCGCAGGAGAAACAATATCGTTGCACCGCCTGAGGGGATCGGGCACGGGGCGACGATACAAAGAAGCATCTGATCTCCGTAACCTTGGCGCGGGTGAAAAACATGAATCGATACGAGAAGAACATGACTTGAGTATTCTTCCGATGGGATATGACAGCGAACCCAAAGTCAACATACTCTTGATGTTCTTGATATCTTGATGTTAACGTTGGTCTCTTCACACGACAAGCCATCGAGCAGGGGGTGAAAGCATCGACCATCACGTGTAGTTGCGACCTCTGGGGAATGATAGGATTTTCCTACGTGGACGCAAGACCGGACGAAACCAACCTATGGAAGCAGGAGAGGCTTCGAAAGCTGAAGACAGAATGCGAGCTAAGGCCTCGTAAACGGAGCACAGCAACGCAGTTTCGGGACGATCCATTGCCTGTTCCGGTTTCATGTCCAGCATGAACAGAACGAGGAGCAGCCGCAGCCGCAGCAGGAGCAGCAGCGGCAGAGCAAACGGCAGTCAACGGTGCATGGGGTCATTCATCGCTGTTTTTTGTTATGGACAACACAACAAGCTACGAGAAAGGCGAGACCACAGAGTAGAGGAGCAAGAAGGGCGACAATCAGCTTACGATAGGTCACCACAGCGACAATCAGATTAGAGAACGCCCGAGAGATTTCGAATACTAGCCATTCACGCAGAAAGCGTCAAAAAAATTGTTTCGCCGACACCGAAGAGATACCGAAGTCCACCGTTAGCAATACTCCACCTCAAGCGCCACAACGCAAGCCTCCAGGGCCTCCTCAAGGTTTGGCGTCGCCAGGTGGTGCAATCGCTTCCTCCAAATCTAACAACGGGGAGACACACGCCCAAGCAGCAAACATTTTTTCGTGAAAAGTTTCGAACATTATGTCGGGCTAATCTCTCGGAGTCAACCACTCTCGGAAACCGGAGTTGCCATGAACAAGCTGTTGCCAGACCTTTTCTTCTATGGCGACGGTGCATGTCGTTGCTGTCACTCGTAGAGGGATTCTTGAGTTACCATCCTGGCGGACGTCCAGGCAAAGAAACTCGAAGCGATGCGATACTTGTTTCCCACGGAACAAGCTCTTGGACCGCCACCAAATTGTAGCTTGCGCTAGACCAAGAACTTGTCGGTGTGTTCTTCAGGGCACACCAACGACATGCAACCCATCGTGAGCGGCATAGTTTCGGCCGACCATCACGAGTTCTGGTACATGCTGTTGTAAATCGAAAGTTGGCCCCGCCTTACGGTCAGTGACATCAACCACTCCTACAGCATGTATATTCAAGTTGATGGTGATGGCAAAGAACAGTTGAATATTGACCCACCCCCCGTCTGGTCGGGTTCAAATGCCGTATATGCCCGGAATTCCTCGGAATGCATCTTGGTCTCTCTTGTTAGTCTTATCGCGGCACGAAAGCCGAAACGAGCATTCTCTCTGTATCTCCGTGTTCATATAGAATTATGTATCTCTCTTTCTCTGTCACTGTCAATCTCTGTCTCTCTGTCTCTCTCTCTGTCTCTCTCTCTCTCTCTCTCATTCTTTGTCTCAGTCCCACTCTCTCTCCCTGTCTCTCTGTCTCTCCCCCCCCCCCCCCCCCCCCCGATTCTCTCTCTGTGCCTCTTCTAAGTAAAATTTCTCACAACGCACCGGCATGTGGAAGTTGTAGACGTAAACGGCCCCGCTCTGGACCAGCGCCGGCTCCTTTGCCCTCACGGCCCTCCGCAGCCCACCCACGAAGCAACCGCAAGCTTTCTTCTTCAGGTCGTCCAGCAACTCTGACCCACATATTCGTAGGATTGCGGATCATTGGGCCCCGAGACGCTCACACATCGTTTTCGCACAGGGCTGTTTGAGGAAAACTTCGAAATGTAAAGAAGTTTGCACAAAAACGAGGTATCTGGGATTTGCTGGGCGATGTCTACCGTAACCCCCCACATTCACAACATGCAGGCGAGCCAGAACTTGCAGGCAACAATGGTGATACAAGCGTAACGATCGCCAAGGTGATAAGGCACAATATTGTCGCGGGGAACTTGGGGCTCTCCGACAGGAGAACCCCCCGGACCTGGCTGCGAAACTTTGTAGATGAACGTTGTCAACGCAGAACAAAATGATGTTGGGTTGGGAAAGCTACAACTATTAGGCGAACGTCATCACCCCCGTTGCGGGGGAATGATTTTAGGCCAACAGATCAAACCGGTCCAATGGTTCCCAGAGTATAGCGTGCGATTGCGTTAGATGGCGTTACTGCACTCAAGAGTAGGCAACCTTTCGAACGACATAAAGTCTATGCACGCCGAATCTACTGTTTCCGCTAGCTTCGTAGCACGTGTTGGACCCGGATTCAGCCCTTGACACTACCCAGAAATGTGAACATCGCACCTGAAACGTCTGCGGATACGCCCGCCAGGCAGTCCGTTGTCGCGATCCCCATCGTGCGCGGGTCTAGATCCAAACCCTTCTTGGAGGGCCTGTTGCCGTGCTTGCTGCTGCCAGCTGCGTTGTCGCCGTTGTCGGAGGTCGTGGGCCGGCTGTTGGTCTGGGTCTCTGGTCTGGAAAGGTTGACCGGAGAATCGGTCCCTAATTCTACGGTGTGCGCCAAGCGAAGCTCCTCGACGAACGTTTCTCCGAGCATGAACTGCGCCCGTGTCTTTAAACGAAAAAAACAAATGTTGGATAGGATGCAAACATGTAAAGCAACGTTTGGATCACCCGCAAGTAATTGTTGGTCCTTCGTGACAGCCCCGAATGTGCTAGTGTATTTTTCCGTGTTGCACAATGAGTTGAAATATAACACGTGCATGGCCATAAACTAAGCGAAAGAGAGGGATAGGGGCACGAACAGAGAGGGAGATGGAGTTGCTGGCCCCAAGAAGCACTTGACTGCAGCAAACTACCATGAAACACACATGGTTGCATCGCGGTGTGAATACTCCAAACATTGAAGTCAGTTCTACGTGACCAACACTATGATAGCTCCTCAACAAGGTTTGAATGGAACCACCTAGGAGTGATTGAAGCGGGAGGAATAAAATCTGTTTTTCGTGTTCTCCTCCGTAGCTCAACAAATTGTTTATCTCCCATTGATTAAAAAAAAAACGTTTCCTTTGCCCACCTGCAAGACAAGCAGCTCTCTGTTTTTTTCCGGGCTCCAAGGACCGCTCCGGAGCACCGCCACTGCCGCCTTCCTAGCCAGACCAACGTCGCGGGCATCGCCATCGGGGCGCGAAGCGTTTTTTGCCGACATCCCTCCGTTTCTTGCCTTCTTCTTTCCGCCGCCTTGTTGTGTTTGGCTCTGGTCCCAAGCCAGCTCCAGAAGGGCGAACCAGATTCGGACAAGCCTGTCTTAGGAAAGGATGGTTGGAATTGCGGGGAATAGCGTCGATAGAAAATATGTGACGCCACAAAAGATTCTGCTAATATGTTCAGCTCCAAACGAATATCAGCCCATATGCAAACATCGGAATCGTTATTGATGGCAGCGATTGTACGGAAACCTCGCGCAAATCGAAATGCCGACAAGATGATTGCGCCGATACCGGTGTGTTGGGATGTCCAGGGGATGGTGCAATAAGTTCTTAATGCGCGACAACAAAGCCTGCAACGGATGGATGTACTTGTGAAGTTGGGGTCGACGACGGGGGCTGTACTACGTAGTGCGTTCCGGTGAAGCGCTCGGGTTATGGCAACGATCAGTGGTCGTTCCAACAGAAACGAAAACGCAGCTCCAGTTGTTCGTTCGGGCACGTGCAAATAATGTAACTCAAGCACTGCCTGACGTCACCCAAAAGCAGTATTATCCCGCCCGTATTTCGGTTTTGAGGTAACGCCGCTCAGGACACTCGGCAACAGCACAGTTGTCCGTCTCTCGTGCGCTGTTGTCATCGATGCCCCCGCCTCTTGATCGCATCAAGTGTGGAAACATCCTGATAAACCATGGACTCCTCCCTCTGCCACCAAGCCCCATCCACACAGAGCGGGAAACCGACCTTTTCGACGACGTCGGAGGTGATTCCTCAGCGTCACCGTCTCCTGACCCGTCAGCATCTTGCGCCGCGAAGCCGGCCGCGATAGTATGGATCTCGTCGTCCGCACCGTTACCCGGACTCAGGGACTCCTCCTCTGATCCTTGCTGTCGTTGTCGCTGTTCCTGTTGTTCGGTGGCTGGTGTAGTGGCGGCGGGACCTTCCTCTGCAGCTGACGGAGCTGCTGCACTCCTGCGGTGTCCCGAGCGGTAGTTGGACGTTGTTGTGCGGGGGAAAATATTTCTTTCTCTCGGCTGAGTAGCGTTTGGGCAGGTAGGTGGGGATACCGCTCTTCACTGTCGACCATGTAATGATTGACGTGCAGGCGATCGTTTCATGAAAACCTCGTGAGTAGCAGGATGATGTGCTTGCAACGTCTTGGCTAGGAATAATACTGGAGTTACGTGCTGCTGAACTCAAACATACATCCCAATCTCACACATCACCGTCATCGGAACGTCGAACACTATTACTCTGAAAATCGGAAAATGGCCCCACACGACCAACCTGCTGAGATTGATTCTGTCTTGCTGGACGGCAATGTCGAGTTGTTCGGCTGCTCGGACGAGGAGCGTTCGCCTCAAGAATGGGTCCACCGCGTGCCTACCCTGCGCGCATTTTAAGACCAGGCCTGTCCTTGCGTCAATTTTACTCGGTTCACGTTTCGAGTCATAAGTGGATAGCACTGGGTTAAGCTGATAGAGCTTGGTGTGTTGGCACGTTTGTCGGGTCGGTAACACGTTTCTATCGTGGCAGGCCCTCGAGGTCTTGTTCCTACCGGTGATAACTCTAGTGGGGATCCGGAGGAAATTGGTATTGCAATCCTTAGCAACCGTCTTTCCGGGTTATCGGGCCTCACAGTGTCAACAACCTTGAACGCGTTCCCAAAGAAGCCTGCATTGCTGCTATCAGCCCTACAGACACGCCTCGTTTTCGGCCCGCACCTGGTCAACGAGTAAGAGGGCCCTGTCCTCCGCCGTTGCGGGCTCCACGTCGACACTCGTTTTCAGACGTAGGAATGAGGCGAGGGGGGCCATGAACCTTCGGTACAAGAATAGCGCAAGGAAATGAGAGGAAACTATCAAGACGAGGGGTGGCAGCCGCAGGAGCAGGAGCAGGAGCAGCAGCGCCTCAACCCCGCAGGACCCAGACCGACATCATGTGGGTTTCACCCACGTTTGTGAAGGGTTTCCGCGACGGTGAATCATATATCGTCGTATGCATAGCTGGGTACACCGTTTTGGTGCTAGTCGGTTCGAGTCGTCTATCCCTTAAGCACAATCCACCGTTCTCAAGGAGGTACGAACGGCGGAGAAGGGCAGAGTCGACCGATTCACATCAGAACCTGGCGTACTCAGCGGGGGAGGTAAACTTGGCGGAATTTTGTTCAATCGCTCACAGATCAGCAAGGGGTCCCCCGGATTCGGAGCATTCATGAGTTAAGTAGCAAGCTGGCAAGGCCGAAGTGTAGTTGTCCCTACGGTGCCTTTGTCGTCCAGGCTTCGACCGCTGCTCAGAACGGGGTATACCAAGGTATTCTGAGAGGGAACGTCTTCCGTAATGAAAACAACGTACCTGTCCATGGGCCGCAAGACGTCGTTGAGCGCCGCCGCCCGTGCCTCTGCAACATCGCCCTCTGGAGAGTTCCCCGCTCCCGCCCCATCAGAGCCCCCTGCTTCGTAATGCCGCTGGTTGTTCCCTTCCGAGAACGTGTTTCCGAGCTGCTGGTCGCAGTCCCATTCTCCATCCAGCGGGGTCTCCGGCGGTAGAGTGGTCATGTCGGAGGCGCCGTAGTCTTGCATGCAGGCCTTTTCCACGTGCGACGCCGCCTTCGCTAGGAAGTCTGAGTCCATCTCGCACTTCGCCACCTGGTTGGTCATCACAATTTTTTCATATGACCTCAGCGTGAGTTGAACGTGAGACGTGGAGAGATTAAGAAAGACGAGAGGGGCACCGATCACCACGTTTTCACTGCGAATTGGTCTTCAGCAGCCTTCGTAGACCCGTGCGCGAGCTCCATCCTCTAGCCTGCTCGCATGGAAAGTTGCGATATTTCAACAGCTGAGCCGAACAGTACGGTGGGCGTCCTCTTGCGCTCTACAATCAGTGTCCTTACCTCCAAATGGAGCTGCGCTCGAAGCCTGGCGAGCGGAGACTGAAGGTCCTGCAGAATCTGAGCCGCGAGAGAGAAACAACGGTGGACATGTTTCCGGTGCCGACTACCCAGGAGGGGGACACCGGTGGAAAATGCCAGGCAGCAGCCTTCCTGCGTACAAGCAGAGCAGAGCACAGCGTAGCAGAACGGAGCGGAGCAGTGCCCCGAAATTAGCTTGGATTACTGGGAGGAACTGAAATGAAACAGAAATCCATGAAGAGCTTGAGAGGGAAATGAATAGCAGAGTGAGGCCTGGAGACGCAACTCGCGGCATGTATCGTGGGAAAACCTATCAGCGGTCAATGCACGCACACCTACATAGAACAACACGGGATAGTAGGTAGATCAGGAACAGGCTGGAGTTCGAACGCCTTAAGCCTATCCAGTGACAGTTGCTCGAAAGTTGAAGCACTAAGTGCTTGAACATGCATTCCTTCATATGCCAAAGCGTTTCGAATATCACAGTGGCAGAGTAAACCCGTTCGCCACATTCCAAACTATAAATAAATGTTGCGATCCGATGCAACATGCTTCTGCATACCACCCCGGTACGACGACCAACATGTTAGAGTATCTTGGGGGAAATGCCGCCAAGCGAAAAGCTCTCGTGGGGGCAAGTTAACGGTTGCGAGCGACGAGGCGACAGAGGCTTTGTCGATGAGAAGCGACGATATGAAGGTGTGCGTTTGAACGTCAGTCTGGACCAGCTGGTGCGCACTCCACAGGATTTGGGAGGGCAATGAAGAAAAAAAAACATGTTGAAGCTGCGATGCCGTCATCCCTCGTATGTTGAACATTTGTTGCTCCCAAGATATACACACGACTATCATCAACAATCTGGATCATCAGGGCTTGACTATCTCCTAGATTGAATGTGAGATAAACCTAACAACGCTTGTGGGTACACGGGTCCTTGGGTTACCAAAAACATGGGAAGGGTACCCTTGGAGTCGCAATAGAAGTTTGATGCGCGTCTAGGGAGAAACGGGCAACCACTTGAACCGATACTTTCTCGTAGAACAGGAGTGGATTGAACATTTCAACACAACGCAGACACGAAGAACTCGTCGAAAGTTGTACGTAGGTTTCAAATTCTTGGCAACGCGTCCGAGCTCAACGCGCCCGTGTAGTAAGTTGTCTGTGCTAAAAGGAACCTGACGTTGGCGAAAACAACATGCCTGCAGTAGCTCGGGGTCTCCCAGCCGTTTGCAATTCAGCAGCGATCTTTCGACCCGCTTCAAGGCCTCAACCCTATCTGCGAGCCGCCGAGCGTCCGTCCGCCTCGCGTCCAGCTTCAAGGTATCACTGCTGCTGCTGCTGCTGCCAGGGGAAATATCGGAGATCATGCCCTGGGCGGCTAGCTCCGCCCCTAGGAACTCCAACCGTGCTCGGAAGGAACCGGGTGATACTGCGCTACCGCCCTCATCCTTCCCGCCGCCCCCTGCATGCGCGTCCGCGACAATCAACAACACCAGTGCGATTCGACAAGTCATCACCCCTTTCTAGCACAAGAACTTTCAGATATTCGCACTATCGTCCTTGTGAATCAGGAGAGGCTTCAACTTGCCTCTTGAGTGAGTGCAATTGGGAAATTCGGTATCTGCAATTTTTGGACGTCATGAGAGAATCAAGCTATATCCCGCCAACAACAGATCGGAGAATGGTCGTTTGCAACCGCTGAGGAGAGAGAAACAATTTCTACCACCAATCAAACATTTCAAGGGAAAGAGTGTAACGAAAATAGATGCGAAGACCATCTAAGGTTACCTCTTACCACGTGGTAGGAATTTAGCCGCAGCGACTCCTCTGTATCTATTATGTCGACCAGAGACGGACCAAACCGCCCAACTGAAGCAACCAATAAAGTTGTTGATTAGAAGCAGGACACTGCACTTTTGCCACGACTTCAATGCACACCCCTTCTTCCGAACGGATGGTTATCGTGGATGGCATCCCGCCTAGCAAATGCAAGAACAGCTCTGGAAAACGCTGTCACGAATAAGGTCCATGCATGGTCAACCAGGAGCTGCCAGCTCAAGATGAAACTAGGAGGCGGTGTCATCTTGAGCAACAAGCATGGAGAGAACAATCATATGTCTAATGCAAATGGGCAGTCCGCGTGAACACGCGCTTTTCACGAAGAGATTACCTGCCGAGGGATTGTTGCCCCCGTGAGCCTTTCTGGACGAGGAAGATGCCCGCACGTAACAGGCTTTCGCGAAGGACAGGAAAGCATCACGGTTAGGCCCCGGCGGGCTTCTCGCTTCTTCCTCGGCGTTCATGGCCTGACACGCGCGGAAGCGATTGAGCCCCACCCCGATGTTGGCTATTGGGATCGGCCTATGCGATACTGAATATTTTGGTATCGTCGATGTTCATGCTTCTCTGTGCGACCCTTAAAGAGTTTCGACTACGGCATGCCATAGGCTACTGCACAGAGGAGTCCCGCCCAAGGCCCGCAACCCCAACTGCGGGAGTTTCTCCGCCGTCTAGCGTTGGCGTGATGTTGCAACACTCCTCTTCCCCGGGTAGGTTCGTTCTACAGACTGAGACGCGACACCATAGGGGTTGAAACTCCATCCTGCTCCTTCAATGTTCGGCATGCTTGGGTGAGAGCCGGTACAATTGTTCACGTGATTGTTCCCTAAATTGAAGAGTGGTTCTCTGACACGCAGCACTCCCCCGAGGGGTGAGCTTAGGGTACCATGTGACAAAGAAATGTCCACAAGGGATTGTGGACGCACAGGTCGGAGCACCGCTTGGTCGAGAAACCAACCATGCACAGGAATGTTTCTGTTGTTTCAGGCGTACACATGCGTGGGAGTGTGGTGCCTAAGCCGCATCAGGTCATTCGGTCGTGGCATGACACATCAACACGGAAAACGGCGCCATCTACCTTGAGAGCTGTCCTCCCAAGGTCCACTAGCGCGGACTTGGCGTCTGAGGAAGGTGCAGGAAGCGAGGCCAGTAGCCCTTGCAAGCCCCCGTCCACCCCCCCATCTTCTCCGCCCCCATCAGCACCACCGCCGTTGTCGCCGTTGGTTTCTTCCCCTAGCCCCGCCGCTACCCTCGCGTACATCTCCACCAAAACGGCGACCCCTCCCGGGTCCACACTCTCCGCTTGGGGTTTCAGCGCATGCAGGACAGCATCCCCGACCAGGGCCCCCGCCGTGACCTGCGTTAGGGTTATCGCGTTTGTTCAGCGGGGTGGAGCGCGAGAGGGAGCGTTAGGAAGTTGGGAGACGGGAGTTATTTCCCCCTTTCTTCCTCGCCTCCTTTCTCTCTCTCTTACCCTCGAAACCGAGGGGGGGCAGGGAGACCGAACGCGGTTCTACGAAGGGGGGTGCACTAGGGCTATTCGACTTGCTTTGCGTGCACCATTGAAAAAAGGCATGAAACATGAGACAGATGAGTATTTTATTTTGTTAACGACAGTTAATAAACGGGGCATATTTTGTCTCCAGAAGGTGAAAGCGCTTCACCAAGGAAGGGCCCAAGCCGACCCAATAGCTTTTCTTGTCGTTCGTGTTCAACTCAGACTTATCCTTCCGGCAATGTCGTTACCCATCATGATCTCCAGCCCCCCGAAATTTCGGAGCCAATATCTCAACTGTGTTCCCGTTGTCCGGCACAACCCCATTGACAAACCCCTAATTTTGCGAATCACAAAGACCGACCCCTGGTTATCTCGGCTTGTGTAGTTGTTCGGTGCATCGTTTGGCCTGCACAACTGAGCCTCGATAGACCTCGTCTTACCCTGCGCTGTCTCGACGGATTTTGCTTGGATGGAGCCGAGCCTCTGTCGTTTCTTAGTTTCACAGCTATCTCTCGTACAAACCGTTTCGCTTCACGCAAACTTTACTACCTGTTGCTGAAGCATGAGAGCGCTCCTGCGGATATCCTCCGAAGTCTGGGTCTGCAGGGTGTCTAGCAACTTCTTGGCATCTGCACCACCTGGGGGGTGTGAGCAAGGCACACGGGGAGCGACCGGCAGAAACAAGTTGCGTGGAGGTAGAAAGGTCTCTGACAGACGTCGGCTGCGGCCTGCCCGTCGGATACCATTCCCCCCCTTAATACGGTGCGGTGCGCCTTTCAGTGTTGGTCATCGACACTTGCAAAGGGCCCGAACTAAAATACGCCAACCTATCCCCCGTTCGAATGACGTCACGTCTTCGTAAACCTCACAGGAAACACGGTCCAATCGATCGGAGTGTGCCCCAATCTCAGCTGCAAAATGCTTTTTAGAGGTTGCCAACGGGCAGCCCCTTTTGACCCAACGCCGTTTCCGCTGAGAGGAAGTGCAGGTTGTCAAATGAGACGCCCCCCCCGAAGACAAGTATAGGAACGCCAAGACTGTCATGAATAGCTTCCCGCGCCCATTACCCTTACCCCAATTGGGATACACAACTACACACGTTGATTGAGACGAACAGGGACAGTATCTACAGTGATTTGGCACAATTGCATCCTCCCACGGGTTTGGTTTCTCGACGTGACTACCAGTTGAAAGCGCAAAACAAATCTCGGTGCACGTACAATATCCCCTTATCTCCCAGGTACTTCTCTTTACCTGCCGCCGCACTCTCCGCTGTCGAATAGACTCGGAAAAGCCAGGTCCGTTCCGACAGGGCCGCAGCTTCCGCCGCCCCTTTGACCAGAGGGTTGAGCTTCCTTCCCGCCTGCCAGAGAACAGTTCAAGCCAATTAGACAAAGTTTCCAGGGTTGTTCACTTGTTTGAGGGTGGCTCTACTCTGTTGGTTGGTTTAATTAAAATGAGGTCGTAGGAAACGAAATCGTTCGCGGCTGATGGGTAAAGGAAAGGTGGGTTGGGATAGCACATGAGTGCATATCCGTTTGGGGCTGGTACTCTTCGTGCCCATGAGAGCGTAGCACCGCAAGATGGAGACAAGGAGAGTGCGTTGTAAATTCTCTGCCATGAGGTACGCCGTTGGCCTGTTTGAACCAGCCAGGGGCTGGCGGTTTGTTCTCCCCGCTAAGTAGGAAACATGTTTGATCTGAATTGATTCAAGAGATGACCTTTCTCGGACGATCGAGGGGACTTTCCGATATTACACTGTTGTCAGACTTATGAAGCGAAACAACTTGCTGCATATCAGGGCGCAGTCGGTGCTCTTCCTTTGTACCCATGGGCCGTGCGACGTATCCCCAGTAAGGCCAGGACCTCCAAACCTCTGCCGCAGGCTTCGCGCGACACTTTGAAATCGTTGGGCCGGAGCAAGCCGCTCAGTGCGTTCTTGTTGTACGTGCCCGACGCTTTCCACCCCAACGTGACGTAGGATATGCAGCAAAATCACTGCGTCACCCAACCTGAAGAATCCACGACAACTCTTAAACCGACCTACTTTTCCCCTTCTGGTTCATCCCTGTACAACGTAGCCTGACAGGTCAAAACCCGGCATATCACTCTGTCTCGGCATATTGTAGGGATGCGAGGTCCATGTTCTAACGACTACGGCATGCGTTCACGTGAGTGCACCCGTCCATTTACTGGGAGATAGCCCCGACCAATCAAATCCCCTCCCACCTCCCCGACGTCGGCCTCGGCCGCGGCGCGAGACACCAGCGCGGCCGACAGCGCGGCCGACATCTTCTCTTCCGTGTCGAGAGAATGGTTCTCGCCGGTGCCGGCGGGGCCCGTGGAAGACGACACCACGGAACCCTCCGCCACCGCGCCACCTGCGAGAGAGAACAGTGACGCGGCGGGTAGGCCAGTGTTCGTTGATTTCTGCAAATGGGATTGGATTGGACTGACACGGGTTGTGCAACTTTTCTTTTTTGCACCCCGTGCCTTCCAAGGGCGTTTAGGTTTAAGGCCGCTGCTACGACTGCACGACTGGCGTGAAAGAGTAGCCGAAGCTACACGAGAAAGACACGAAAAAAAACAAGCCGATGTTTCCACAACGCGTGGGGCAGAAGCACTGCTATTCCCAAAGCCGAAGTTCGTTGACTGTGAACCACCTCAAGGCAGGAGATACGTCCAACTGGCAGAGGGACGCGCTGAACTAAACCAGGTGAAAAGAGAACAACAAGTTCCGAGAAGACGATGACGATTCAATCACGTTGACGGCGAAGAGCCCTTCATTCTGATCCATCCCGTATCGCGCGCCAGACGCACGTCTATAGGAAACAAAGAACGAACCTCGAGCTCTTTGCTCGCTCTCCGAAACGTTTCACAACAACGAGCGACTAAGCAAACCAAAACCAGACAACAAACAGCGCTCACGAAATCCCACCCTTTGTTTCCTCCGGGGGAGAATTCTCACGGTATGAGCAAACAATGACTCGAGCTCACCCTCGCTCTGCCCATCTCCGAGAGATGCGGCCTCGGCTGCACTGCTGGCAGCCTCCTCGATTTTCCGAATCGTCGCCTGCGCTGCGGCCACCCTCTTTTTCGCCTGCCGGGGAGTGACGAAAAAGTACTGGATTTTGGTTCTTGACCCAAGGTATTGTGCTTGTAGCGTTCTGGCGAAGAGGGGCTCGTGTCGGGGCCGGATAAGTTCGACATGTGCAGGCCCCGAGGTGAGGGTACACCATCACGGCTGCATTACAGGAACATGAGCAAAACCATCACCTTCAACGACAGCAGCAGCCGTAGCAGCAGCACTACAACAGCAGCAACAGCAGCAGCAGTAATTGCAGCAGCAGCAGCAGCAGCAGCAGCAGCAGCAGCACATACCTCGTTTAGGACATCGCGAGCTGCTTCCGCCTTGTCTCTCTCCCTCAACGCCAGGGTCTCTGCGTGCTGCAAGCCGAGCGCGGCTTTGGCCGCCGCCGCGTTAGCGTCTCCGTTGTCCCCGAGGGCAAGCGAAACCGAGGTCAGAAGGGCGCACCGCCACCGCAGGTCTGCATCCTCGGTAGCTTCCAGTGCGTCAGAAAACCTAAGGTGATCGCGTTCGTTTACGTGGCGTCAATGGTCAAAGCCGCATAGACGTTTGCACACCGGTCATAGCGTAGACATGCTTGCACACCAACATGCGCCGGAATGATCAATCATTAAGGTGACATTTCAACTATTCTTCTGGAAGACGAAGGTAGCAATCGAACAACAGATTTCCCCCCCCGGTCTCCGTGGTCCTGAGAACGGCCCTGAGAACGGCGCCGAGAACGATGACTCCAAACAACATGACCAGTTTGTACGCTACCTTGCGAGCTCCTTGGCGTGATGGCCGGCCCGCCCGGCCGTGAGAGCGGGCCTCAGAACGTTCCACGCGTGAACGGAGACGTTGTGGACCAGGAACGCGTATCGCGGACCCCCTTCTATGGCGACATCCAGAGCCTTGGAGAAGCCGTCACGACAGGAAAAGACATTGTGAACGTGCTGAGGCTGGCTGATGCACAACAGCATCGCCAAGGCCTACATCGCGACACGCATTGGCTGGAAGCATTTCCAACAAGAACAACACAGGGAAGCAATCGTACAAACTACTCGCCTATCGTGGGTGTGCCGTTTGCCTTTCATAGGTTCGGGCGTGCGCTGATGTCCTCTGTATGCATACTCTCTAGGGTACGACAAATCCTGAATCGTGTCCGAGTAGGCAACATGAGGTTGACGCTGTTCGGTAGGAGGAACACAGCGTCGACCAGGTGCACTCGAACGCCTGCTGTGCGTGCAAAAGCGTGGCCCGGAAAGAAATTGAACCTCCTTTTGCCACCAATCAACAACAAACTAGTCCATTATGCGCGATTCGTCTTACGGTATCGGAAAGGAGTGGCAAGGGTCCAACAATCAAAGTATAACTTGATGCACTTTGTTCCTTGTGCCACAGGAATCCGCGAATCCTCTATTAGCACAGAGGGAAAAAAGACCGCTTTTCAAAGCATATGGAACTATGTGCCCCCCGAGGGAACGAAGAGCGGCGTGGCTTCTGCACACCCTCAAGACCGTATCTCCATTCGGCAATGGCCGTTCCATACAATGGCGTGAAGCCCAGTGACATGTCCATTTTTCCCCTGTGAAAGTTCTGCCCACTTGACCAATGGCGACTATTTAGGACGCCCTGCGAGTGGTCTGTCCCAACGCTAGCTGATGTAGGCGCCAAGATCTTACCTGTGTGAGGTATCCTACCGCACGGGAGCGGCGTTGGGTGGCCTCCGCGCCCACGAGACCGTCCCTTCCGATCGAGTTGCTCACCACCAGAGCCTGCACACGAGCGTTGGAAAAAAAACGTGCCAACAAAGCCGGCAGCAGAACCACGCACCGAAGATCTTTGCTTCGAGTTGTGGAACACCGTAACTCTGTCTCGACGAATCGCGCCCTAACTCTGATTTGTCAAGCATACGCCGGCAATCGACAAACGCAACTCAGTCTACGTACCGCACAGAAGTGGTTTCTCGATGGGCACCGCACTGCTGAGTGCATGCAGGCTGAGAGCACCACCTTTCAATACCTTCACAAACAGAGCGCGGCAGAAGAATTGATCTCTCGCACCCCCCCCATCGAGGAAGAACTCGTGACAAGCCTCCCTGGCCAAATTGAACTCTCCGTTCTTCACGGCTGTCTCAGCGGCAAGCACCAGTAGCTCGGGCGACCGGAGATGGTTCCCTTCCCCTGGCACGTTGTTCTAGCGGGAGAGACATATAAACACAGACGTACAGTGGTGACGGGCCCAGAGGGAACATGGACGCTGTGAAGAGCAGGTCGCTATTGCCAGTATAGCGGCTAGAGTCGAGCTGCAGGGGTGCCACGCGATGTTGCGGTTGCTATGCACGGCATGTTGCTACACCGAGCCGCCAATGCTGTAGGAATATCGTATAAGACTGGAAGCTGGGTTTACCTACTCTTGACACGGTTTACATCACTTGTGTCTTTTAGCCGGAGGGGGGGGGGGAGGGATCTATTCGAACCACGGGCACCTTTCTCATGCTGCCAGACTGGATATTGGTTCGTCACGCAGGCGCGGGTCATCGTTACGGCTGTATACTGCCTCATTCCTCCTCTATCCCCTTGCGTGACTTCTGTATCACATCCTACTGTAAATCAACCAGAGGCTAGGCACACAGAAACCGTAAGGGCAGCCGACTCTTTCATTTGCCACGCACAAGATTTGGACCCTCGAGAAATCTTTCAAATATTCTCCCAACGCCCGTGAATTACCCCTATATCAACGCTACAGAACAATTGAGATGAACCGGCAAACGCCGCCGGCTGCAGTGCACTCCTCCTGTGAACTGATAAAACACCAACTCTTTTAGTGTATGCAAGGTTGTTTGTCTGACACCTCTCCCTCCCCTCAAATACATGGTATTTCAGTTGCGCACCTGTGTCCTAGCCTTTCGAAGCAGGCGAAACGCAGCCTCGAGGCCCCGTTTCCCCTGCTGGGAGAGCAGAAGCTTGTGCGACGGATCACCCCCTGGCTCGCCTGCGGTTTCCACGTCTCGCACGCTCCTTGCGAAGGCCGCCCGCAGCTGAAGGTCTAGCGCCATAACAGCTTTCGGGGGCGCAGTTTGAACTGAATGATGGAAACAACGCATACAAATCGATTGACAGACACACCGGTTGCAAGCATGCATAACGATTCTCCCCTGGTCAATACATGTAGGTGGCTAACCAGTCGATCTCATGTAATATTGTGGTTGATGTTGAGGGTTGGATTCTCAGCCAGATGTGCTTATTGTTCATTTCGCACCTAGTGTTGAAAGCGCCTGTTTGTGCGTGAGAATTCTTGGGGAAAAATTGTTAAAGCCAGTCCCACGTTGAAGGTTCAAGGCACGCGTCGCTGAGAAATCATTTTTTTGTGGCGCCCTGTCGGTGCTCCGTTAGACTCCTTGTAGGAGAACTGCGGTAAATGAAGTGTACATAGAAGCAACGACCAAACAATATCGTCCGGTAATGGTCTACTGCTATCTTCCACTTTGCCTCCACTATTAATAGCAAGGTTTTCAAGCGTACTCCTGTTGTGTTTGTAGATTTTGGACGGCTTTCCAGTTTGTAGTATCGCACACGACAATGTAGACTACAAGCATACATGTAGGGTGCTGCAGATTTGGCTTGAGAAACCATACAGTAGACAAAAGACTACATGCGTCAGCACTGCTGCAGACTACTGTGTGCATACGTACGTGCAACGCCCCGGTCCCAGCACCCAGCACCATCAAGAAACACAAACAGCAACAGCAGTAGCAGGGTGACAGTAGGTCATACATCAGCAGTGACGGAAGCTCTTGTGCCTACCAACGTGTGTTTGTGTGGGCTTCCTGCTCACCCGCGGTACCACGTTGTAGGTTGCAACAATTACAGGTGCGAAGCCCAATCTTGCAAGCTCGCTGTACGCACCAGGTCGGTTGGTTAGGTCTACCATATACATGTACTGCTGCTATGGCATACATACCTTGTCGGCCAGCACGTCCGTTATGCCCGCGGGCTCGTGCCACCCGGGCAGGCGGGATTCCGTAGCTGAGAGGAACGTCGACCGGGCCCTCTCTCAATCCTGCGCTCTGTTGGCTCAGCAACGTGATGTGTGAGGTAAGGTGAAGATATGAGAAACCAAAAGTGTTTCATGTGATGGGTAGATAGCAGCCCCTTCTCCGTAGATACATAAGCTCTTGCGAGAGAGGGAGAAGAGAGAACTAACTGGAAAGAAGATATGCTTCTTCGTTCGTCGTGCAGCCAGAAAAGCAAAGGTCGTTTCATTTCAATTGCGTCTTCCATCATGAGCAAACCCGTCGAATCACGGAGCCTCTTTGTGCACCCCCCACACCCCCAGGTGCCGTCCCCCCGTCATTATTCCGCCGCTGTGTCCCGCTGTCCCGCAGGTCGCGCTCACTCACTCCCTCTCTCTGCTTTTTTCCATCTCGTCTCAACCACCGCCAAGCACACGCACTCGGCACGATCCTGGTGTTCCCTGGTGAGAGGTATTGGCTTAGATTTACTTAATACATAGGCAGAATTCACGCCAGTCTGCGGTCCGCGTTCAACAAGCGTGGCGCCCACACTGTTCTATTTCTCCGTGTTGTCTCGAGAGCTCAAATTGGTCATGTGTACATGTGTACCACGGCTATCTCCATGGTCGTTGTCGAGATCACAGCACCAGACAGGCTCCGCCTGCTTCCGAGCACAGAGAAAAGTCCCGTTGCAGTTTTTTTTTTTATGTTTTCTCGTTCATGTCAAGGTGCCACCGAGTTGCTCCGCCTGGGCCTTCCTTACACGACAGCAACACAAAAGTCAGTCTACACCGTGGCCCAGCTGCTTTGTACCAGTCTTGAGAGGTTCGTATGCTACGGAGAACACAGCCAGGAATTCTGTCTGTGATTGAAGAGCAACTGCGTGGCTACGGCTGAAGTGTTTTGTGATGGTGTATTCCGTGTGATATATCCACCACTCCACGGCAACCGAGGGTAAACAATCCGTGAGCGGTATGCAGGTGATGACTCCTGTAAACTTCTGCTGTGCACTGCTGTCACAATTTCCCGGCGGTTGAACCCCAAGCCCTTTGAAACTCTATAGCATGTGAGACCGAGTCTCCCTGAAATGACAGCATCGTAACATAGAGTAGACGTAGAGAGCGCGTAGTCGTGAGTAAACGCAAGGAAGCAAGCACTGCCTTCAAGAATAAATTGGTACGTTTACCTACTGTACAACAGTGCCGGCTCGCTCGTAAGCAAGACCTTCGTAAGAAATCGAGGCTCAGAATTTTGAAAATTTTAGAACCAAGTGCCCAAGAAATTGAACTCATTTGACGGAAGAGTGATAAGAAAGGGACAAATAAGAAATAGCGCAATTTCGACTTCCTAGACACCAGAAACACAGGGTTCAAGGTTGGCCGCAGGAAATAAGGAACGGCCCTCCGCGTGTATTCACGGGCGGGATGGCGGGATACAACGGGCGAGGGGGCAGTTATATCGTCGCAAGTACGGTGGGTCTCCTTGAGATTGCGTCGACGGACCCCCCTAGATTCGCCGCCGCGTCACCAAAATGTGCGTCCTTCATGCACAAGGAGGGCAGTGCCGCTTTCAGACACATCCATCGGCAACCTCAAGAGGTTGTCGAGCTTTGTTGATGCCGGCTACATCAAAGAGAGCACCCACAAAGATTCCATCAAGAAGCACGTGAGGGCTAACAATTCCATCGACGACACGTTCTGATCGCATGTGGAGTGCATAGCTTCGTGGCTGTGGAAAAGTAAATGGCGTTGATAAGAAATTGTGCAATTTGCATGGTGAAACGATATTGTGCAATTCTCATCGGGAAAAAATAAGAAATTATGACACACAAGAAATTCAACTCACTATGGCTGCAGCAAGAAGACGTAGTCTTTCTGCGTGTGTATTTATTTTTCCTAATAATGATTTGAGCCTCAGCTGAAATAGGTGTTTCTTACTAGCGGGCCGGCACTGTACTGTAAGGATAGAGAGGCGAAAACACACCCGTGCTGTAGTCATTGCTTGGAGGATACTGGTACTGCTGTATCGATAGGTGCTCGTACCCCCAGCTGTGCTCTCTGCCACATGGTGGGGTAATCTGTTGCTTCCATGTTTGTAGAAGTGCCTGTTTAGCCGATAGCATCATATACCGTATATGACACAAGATAACACACCCCCTGCGGCCGATTTTCAAAGCTCGATTTCTCAACAGCAGGAAGAGTCACAGCGCCGAAAACGGCGGCGTTGGAACCGTCTCGTCGAGAGGTTTTCGAAAATGTATTGTTTCGTTTATGCATCCTCTTCGTCGTGGAGTAATCGAGCTTTGAAAATCGGTCCAGGGGGTGTGTTATCTTGTGTCATATACGGTATGGTCTTGGGGGCTGTGATGCCTTCAGAACATCGCCAATGCTTTAGATTATCTGGGTCAGCTCTTGGGACGCAATATCCCTCAGCAGCCATGTTTCGCTTGGAGTCTAAAATAGTTTGGCCCTTGAACGTCACAATACTTGTACTCAGTCGAAGGGACATTCATAGCATATGGCACCAACTTTGCGACTCGCCATTTGCTGGACCACGGATCTCTCTCTCTCTCTCTCTCGCTCTCTCTCTCACTCACTCTCTCGCTCTCTCTTTAGCAGAAGGGGACCAAAGATGGAGAAGGCGCAGGTGGAGCTCTTTCGGGCCATAAAGTCCGGTGATCTCACGAAAGCACGGAAGGCTTACGACAAGGGGGCGAACGTTAATTGGCCCCTCGACCGCTGGATCATGGGCGGTCGCGAGCACTGGGGCCTAAGGGTAAGAGGGTACCGCAGCTGTTGCTGCCGCTGCCGCTGCCGCTGCCGCTGCCGCTGCCGCTGCTGCTGCTGTTGTTGTTGTGAGGTTGTTTTTGCTGTTGTTGGAGGTGGTGTTTCTGCTGCTGCGGTCAACGTGAATGTGGTTCGAGTTGGGCTTGTTGCCTCGTAGTGTTGTTTGCTGCCAGAACCCGTCACAACACGCGCACAAGTTCCGCCGCCGAAAACGTGGCATCGTCTCTACGAGCTGTTACAGCATTCCACCGTCCAAGTTAAAGAGCCTTCGACCAGGGTGTCTCCTCCCTTAGCATGGCACCAAACCTATGACGACAAACTCGTGTGTGTGTATTCCGTGATTGCTGTTGCGCTCATGCTGCCCCTCTCTTGGCAGAGTATGGCAGTCTTGAGTTTTTCGTGCTATTTCCGTCGCCTTGTTTTAGGCTCGCCATTAGTGCAGCCGCCGGATAACCTGCTGGGGTGAAGATTCGTTCTCATCGTAAATACCCAGCGCATGTCCTCGACAGATAACGGCAAGCTGTTCGGAACCACGTGTCCACCTCCTCAATACTTTGGAACAATTGCATTCATGCATGATAAGTCATGTAGTGGGTGTGCGGTGTACGGGACCGGGCGTTGTGCGCAGAGGGCGAGTAACACCCCCTCGCAAGCCTTCACTTACTAGCCTTCACCATCCACAACAAAAACGTTGCAGACACATGTGTGTGGCCTAGTATTGTCCTGGGTGGTTTTCCTCCTTGTTGCGCAGCCCCGGCACGTGCGGCGCAAAACATGCCGAAAACAGGAACAACTGATGCCACCAAGAGTCCAACATAATTGGGAGTGACGATGCACACGCACACACCACACAGCAGCAGCAACACCCCCCTCCCCCCGAAAAGACTTGATCACATGCACATACGTGCCGATCGAACAGGTGCAAGTAAAGCCGCTTGGAATCTACCTGGGTTTCAGTGCTCGAGAGTCGTGGAGGGTGCCGGACGGGGAGGGCGCGAACAGGGGGGATACCCTGGTCATGGTGGCGCTAAAGTGCCGCAAGCAGGAAGAAGCGGCGTTTTTGCTTGGGTGAGCTCACGGTGTTGTTCGTCTCTTGTGTATGTTGCCCTTGCTGTTGTTGTTTTTGCTCGGCTGTTATCATGGTCAGCTCCGCAGAGGGTGAAGCGACTTTGTTGCTGGAACGAAGAAGGAATGTGCTTCTTCTCAGCTTTTGTCATGGACAGCCCGGCAGAGGGTGAAGCGCCCATGTTGCTGGCACGAAGAAGGAAATGTGTGCTTTTCTCGTCCCTTCACCTCTGTCATGGCGAATTCGTTTGCAGCAGTTGCCTATGTAGCCGCGGTTGCTTCCCGTCCTCCCCTCAAACACTCTGTAATCCCGGTCATGCAATGAGTCGCCTCGATAACCATCGGTTGGTGGTGTTTCGGTGCGGTAGCTCGTCAGAGGCCGAAAGAGAAAGAAGGTTGACTCAAGACCTTGTTGCTTAGCTTAGAGAGTAAGAGACATGCGGTAGGCAACACCATCGCCATGCAGCATGTCCATCAACATATACCATCCGCGTATCCCCCGGAGGCCCCGTAGACAGTATGCTCTGCCGAGCACCCCAAACAGGTGGACTTCCCCAACCCCAGGAATACTACCCGTTTCATGTGCCCCCCAAACCTCGCCGCGATTTCCAATCAGGTGCGATCGGCTCAACCGAAACTGCCTCAACGAGGCCGGAAACTCGGTGGCCGACATCGCCAGGGCCACCGGACAGGAGTTCCTGTTGACAGGGCGATGGGGGGGTGCGAACCTTCCCCCGACAGTCCCGCAGCAAGGGCCGGGCGAGTGGGACGAGGCTCGGCCGGCGTGGGAGGAGCCGGGAGCCGCGGCTGGGGCGGGGGTGGGAGGAGTGCAGTACGCTTCGGTTGTCGCCGAAGGTGATTGTGTTGTTGTTGATGTTGGTGGTGGTGGTGGTAGTGGTGGTAGTTTGCTGTAGGCTTGTAGAGTGTTGATTGTTGGTCCGGGTGCTGGTGTGTGCTGGCATGCTTCCTCCGGGGTTGGTGTGGTCGTCTGCAACCAAGGTGGTCTGTACGGTCCATGCGTTAAAGGAGGTGGGTCTTGTCTGAAAGAGATTACCCCCGTACGTACTCGCAAGCATCACGCGGAAAAATAACTTTAGCACTGCCGTGCACGATGCTGCTTCTATGTGGTGGGCGGGGCTTGTGTTTGCCCGCCCGGCGTTGTCGTGCGTACACTGTTAATCACACGGACACCGCTTGAGGAGACGTGTGTGTAAGTTTGACTCAAACCCCGCCTATATCATCCACGCCCAGAGCAGAGAGAGTGGGCACTCTACACGCGGAGCATCAAGGGGCTCCGTCATATCACACGTTCTCTCTACCACACGTCAAGAGACCTCATTAGAACGGTGTCGCCACTAAGTATACCAATCGGCTCGTATGTTTGTGGTGTGTTGGCGAAGGATGATGCCGGCGTGAGGGCAGCAGGGAACCCAGATGGGCGAGCGCGCGAGGGGTCGTAAATGGTTCTTGGGGAGTTCGACAAACGTGATTTAGGACATGGCCGGTGTTTCGGCCGTGCTCTTTCGCCGATCTCTCGAAGTCTCGGTGTTGCTATATCATGGTTAACCCTCGTTTGAGTACATGTAGTTGCAGATCTCTCGAAGTCTCGCTGCTGCTATTACTATTAACCCTCGTTTGAGTGCATATAAGGGGCGAGGGGGGCAGAGCAGAACACCATCGTTTGCTGCGCGTCGATACCGTCTTCGACAAGATCAACCCGGGTCCGTACCTCTTGTTCTCCTCACGCAGGGAGATCCCTCGACCATACGACCACGGCCATGCGGGAGAACCACGATGCATGAGTGTCATTATTTTGTGATTTTTGGGGGCACGCGTCATGAATCCACACGCGCTGCCGCAATACATAGAGTACAGCGCGTGGGTGTAGGTGATGCGAGCGAAAAAGCACAACAGGGGTAGTTGGGTCTCCGGCGTCTCCCTCTCCCCATACATCTCTCTTCAAATCGCTAATAAGTGTGCGCTCACCGCGAAAGCGTCCACTTATCCTTGCTGCTGCTTCTCGGTGTTTTCTGTGCTCTATTATTTCTCTGTCCAAACACTTAGCGGTACCGGCGGACGGGAAGGGGGGGGGTGGAGCGACGGCGGGGGGCGCCGTGGTTGCAACTGCGGTAGGAGACGTAGGGTACGCCCCCGCCACAACCGGACACGCTACGGCCGCCCCTGTGAACGTGGCAACACCGATCGACCCAACCAAGTGAGTCTTTTTGGGATGCGAGGCAGCCGCTCTCTCAGTCGCCACGCCATCGCTTACTTCGTCTTCCATTGGGGTGTGTGCCATGCCGTGCTTTCCGACAGAGCAGTGCACAGCGGGTTGTAGTGCTTTCTCAACACATCCGTGGCGAGTGTGCGTTCTCATTTTTCCCGCGTCGTGGCGCATATGCAAAGAGTGTGGCGTGCTTTTGACACTCACATAGACAGGTGGAGGTAGTGCTATCCATTCCTCTTTTTTTGCGAGCACACCAGGTTAGTCGACGTGTTTGGTGTAAATACCGTAAAAGGTGCAGAGATGCCACCGGGTGCGATATGTATATGTATATATATATTTTTTTTTTCGTTCTGTTGTGGCACCCCGGTGCAATCTCTCCGACCGGTGGGATCTCTCGGACCCCTGTGAGGAAATCGAATTAATTCATTCTGTTCTGTTTTTTTTGTTCACACCCTGGTGCCGCCGGTGCGATCTGTGAGGAAATCGAATTAATTCATGCAGTTCTTGTTTTTGTTGTTCACACACCGGTGCCATCTCCCCGACCGGTGCTATCTCCCCGACCGGTTCCGTCTCTCCGCTTTTTTCTGCATGACTAGATGTGTATATACTGGCCTTTACAACATCACGCACGTACTGCGTCGATGCATCTTCTCCTATCCTTCGGCTTGCGAAGGTCTGGCGACATCCCTATCTCTCTACTCTCTCCCTCTCTGTCCCTCCCTCTCTCCCCCCCCCCCCTCTCTCTTAGCTCATACGGAAAAAAATGTAGTCATCCGTTCAATTTTTTTTTTTGCACCCCGGTGCCGTCTCCCCGCCCAGTGCCATCTACCCGACCGGTGCCATCTCTCCGAAGTTAACGGTAGTGCCTACATGTATGTATGTATATATGTATATGTGGCCTTTCCAGCAACACGCACGCACTGCGTCGATGCATCTTCTCCTATCCTTCGGCTTGCGAAGGTCTGGCGACGCCTCTGTTTCTCTTTCTCTCTCTGTATCTCTCTCTCTCCCCCCCCCTCTCTCTCTCTGTCAACTCACGCGCACTGCTTCGCTACTCAATAAGTGGAGGTGTGGTGCCTGGATGCACTTGTGTTTTTTCCAGCAACATGCCGTGGGTGCTAGCTCTGCCCCTTTCATCCCTTCCGTGGCTTTTTTTTATTCTCCGCAATATGCGGTAACTCTGTAATTTTGCTTCTTTCTGCGTGGTTTTATACCCCCGCGTATTGCCGAATAACGAATAACAGGGCGCAGGTGTGTGGTGCTGTCTGTCGCACTCATCGTGAGGTAGAGGGGGTGTCATGACATTTCTTGTGAAAGTAGTGTTACAGCAGTCATGGTGCCGGATGTATGTGGTCGTTCAAGTGGCACGAAATGGACGGGTGCTATCCCTTCGAAGTGTGTGTGTGTGTTTTTTTTTTTTCGGTGGCCCATCCAATCAAGGACCCCTTCCTTTTTTTTTGTCCGCTACAACTTGCCGAGGTCTGGTGACTACCGTATATGACACAAGATAACACACCCCCTGGACCGATTTTCAAAGCTCGATTACTCCACGACGAAGAGGATGCATAAACGAAACAATACATTTTCGAAAACCTCTCGACGAGACGGTTCCAACGCCGCCGTTTTCGGCGCTGTGACTCTTCCTGCTGTTGAGAAATCGAGCTTTGAAAATCGGCCCAGGGGGTGTGTTATCTTGTGTCATATACGGTATACACAAAGGAAAAGTTTTTTTTCTCCGTCCAGAGCTTGCCATCTGCACCCCACAGGCCAACACCAACACCAACCCTCGCCTGCTCACCAACAACCCCTTCCACGCCAAGAAGTGTGCGCAGTTCTAGTTTGTGGACGCCATGCGGGTGATTCCCAAACATTGCGCCAATTGCCGCTACCCGCCAAGCGCAACGGGAACATTTCAGACCAACGTCATTTCGGTTCTAGAGTAGATACCAAGATATGGGAGATATGGGTGTCAGCGTGTCAATCATGCTTGAGAGTGTTTCCCTCTAACCACTATTACGCATAAGACGTGCAGCCACCGTTTCCACACCAGGTGGCCCTGTAGAGTAGTGCAAAAATCTTCTCCTTTGTAGGAGTCGATCAGAGCACAGCAGTCAGCAGTGGTACACTCCGTACTTGCATTTCTTACGCAATTTTGGAGCATCCGCACTTTCAGCACTCCTCGTATGTACATGTAAAGTAACACACCGACAGCAGTTAGACCAAGTTGACAACTCCAACGCCAATCACCCTTCGTCTTGTGACTCGCTGCACTCAGCGTGGCGGCGTAAGCGGCAAAGCACCTCGTCGATTAGGTTGCTGCGTATGTGTCGTTATCGGCCGATGATGAGAGATCGGGACCTGGGCGTTTCAATGTGTCGTGTTGGGCACCGGCGACCAAAACCGAGAGCGTGAAACACCATCCACATTTGGTAATACGCTTGGTGACGCTTTGCAAACATTTCTCAAACAACGATGGCAACAGTGTCAACAATGTACGTTGCATCTGGAAGCCGATCCCGGAGATTTACCCTGCTGTTTGTTGGTCTGAGAGCTTGCTCGTGCTGCTCTCGAGCAACGCTTGGTACCAACCATTAGGCGCGTTTGTCTTCCATAACTCTCGCGTGAAAGACAGAGGATACAGCAGTAGTAGCTGACAACAGCAGTGTTTTCGGGTTTTCGCGAGTACAGGCTCCAGCTATCCCTTGATAGAGGCGCGTTGACGGAAAGTTGTGTCGCCCCAGCACGCCGAGTGGAATGCAGTCCCTATCCATTACCTCCCCCCCCCTGGATGACGCGTGCTTGCGTTTGTGGGCATTCCGGGGAAGGTGCTTGCGTACGCTGTTCATTCCGAACGTGCGCCCCCAAGATGTATGCATAATATGTGTTTGTCCTATGTTTTCTGGCGCCTGCAGAAGTCCGCATGAAATTTTTGTCATATGGGCAAGTAAAATAGGTTGCGAGATGTGAGGTTTGTTTCGTCTTGCACCTTGCTTGCCACTCTTCCCTCTGCTCGTCGTTGGTCGAACAAACCTTAAACGCCCGCTTGCCCCTCGTCGTTCGTCGATCCGTGGCGTCAGCAGCAACCCGACTGCACCGCCCAGACGAGGGCCTCGGCCGCACGCTGGCGGTACTTTCGGCACAGGCGCATTCGGTGCATTTTGATATGTAGAGGCACCGCCAAGAAGAAGAGAGGGTTGAAGGGTGGTATCCAGATTTTTGTACATACAGTACATACACCAGCATCTCACCCAGCGCGAGCTAGCTGCTGATTCCTTATAGGCTGGAATAGCAGCGGCGCACCCCCACCAATTATCTAGCTTTCTGGGTTTAGGCGTGCGAAGTGTTGAACGAACGCTTAGTCAGCGCGTGCCTGGATGCAAGCCAAGGTTGTCCACCCCAACTTCTTGGTTTCCTTTGAGACCTTGTTTTCACGGGGGCACACGGTGATCATAGATAGGGTGGAGGCAATATTGACCTATCTATCTACGTACTTAGTAAAAGGCTTCCGGACGTCACAGTAGTAGGAGTTAACTCGAGCGCCCGCGATGTCGGTGTGCCGTAGTCACAAGCTTCTGAGGATTTTTTCACTAATATTTTAGACTCAGCGACCTTGTGATCTTTTGTGCGGGGTGCTCGCCCTCCTGGCTGGGCAGTTGAAATTCTGGTGGATGGAGTTGGTTTGCACTATTTGTACGCCCGTCTGACTTGTGTGGAAGAAAGACCGGTAAGTTAGGCGGGAAATGGTACCAAATAAGCAAATTAGGTAGTAGGTATCTGTCTAGCTTGTGGTCAAGGGTTGTAAGAACGGCGCTATGAGCTGGTGCTCTCGACATTAATTAGTACCAAGAGAAATGATGATTGGGGTGCTAATTTTTTAGCGCTACCTTGCTAGCGACACCTTGTTTTGGGTAGACTTCCAAGATAACAACACGAAACAGGGCTGCTTGCTTGTGGGCCGTTGATGCTTGCAGCTCCGGTCAAAAACCGTTGATGCACTAACCTGGTCCTCTTATGGCCGTGGCTCGTTTCGGAGCTCTTGGCATGGTGGCCCCGGGGCTTGAAATGTTGCGATATTTTTCCTCATGTTCTCTCTGGCGGGACCAACGCCTGCCCCGCACTCGGGAGCTGCTAGCGCCAATCATCGCGCCCGCAATTCCAGTCAGCGTACTACTAACTCACATGCACATACATGCAGACCCAATATTCATAGAGGGCGCCCAGAACCACAACAACCAACAGACAGACGATAGGATGTTAACACGTTCTTGATGTCAGTGCGCTTGCAAATTGTTGCTAACGACTTCCCCGTCTCCCCCAATTCTTCTTGGCTTTCGCCCGGGTTCTCTCTGGTTTCGCGGTCGATGGGCGGGCAACCCGCCACCACCCCGAACAACGGAAAATAATGCGTCCACCAACGGCAAAACACTCGGAAAGCGGAAGTTATTTTGGCGGAAGTTTGTGTGTCCGGTTCATTTGGCCTCACTTTCCCGACACATACCAGTGACCATACTTAGCCAATATGTCTCTCAAGCTCTATTGATGCCACCAGGACTGAGGGCAAAGAACGGTGGTGTTTACATCGATGTGGTCACTCCGCCATCCATCCATCAAAAACAAAAATATTCAAATATTATTGATCATCCCTGTAAATCGGACGTCGAAAAACATGATCTAATTTTCACATCGTTTCTTCTTCTACGATAACGCACACGGCTGAGTCATCTAGTAATACTAGTCTACACAGCTACCGCTACCCCCCCCCCACCCACCCCCCCTCCGGGGGGTGCGAGGCAGCAATGGTAGAGCACGATGCTCCAATTGTACAAAGGCAAAAAAATCCCGAAAGCACGCCCGAAGAAAATTCCGAGAGTATTTCTCGTGGTTAATCGCCCCGCGTTCTTTTTTTTTTTCAGATGATGCATATGATTCAACCCTTGCCGCAGATCATCAAAGAGCACTGCACCAAACTACTCCAAGCTCAAAGGCCGAAAACCCTTACACTGACTGCGTGCACAGCATCCTACGGGCAGCGGGCTCCTTTCATCAGGTGCGTATGAGAGAGAGAAAGGCGAGAGCGTGGTGTATGATGGGATGATGAGTGAATGAATCGGCGGGGGCGGGCGGCCCATGTCTGAAAAAACACATTACAAAGCATCATCTTTGTGATGCAGACCAACCAAACGCGGGCTGTGTCTTTATGGCTTAGATATGCATAGCTCACATGACCTTTGTTGAGCTGTGCATCTCCTCGCCCGAGTAGGCAGCGGCAGAGGGCCTGTGGTGCAGTGAATCTGCTCTACAGAGACTCTTCTTCATCCCGGGCCGATTGCATCCATGTTCTGACAGAGAGAGCGGGGAAGATTGACGGTGAATTATTGAAAAAGGCGGCAACAAATCCAAACGTGGTATGTACGTAACAGCAGCAGCCAGAGCCAGTGGTGCCTGCCTTGCGAAGACCCCGCAACAATTTTAGAGCCGGTGAGAGCAAGAACATGACGCGAATCACTACAGGAACCAGCTGCAATGATATCAGGAGCAATAGAAGAAGCAGACACGCGTGGTGGTGGAGGGCAGGCAGCAGAATGCTTCGTGCTCCTATTGCTGCTTCTTTTTTTTGTGCCCTCCGTCGGTTTTGATATCTCCTTGTAGTGTTGCGAGAGCAGAGATGATGCTGCTGCATGCGCTGAACAGGAACGAAAAGATGTGTGTGTATCGTGCTCGCTCTTTTTGGGCAGTTTTTGCTCGTGAGCCCCGCCGGGTGAGCAGCAGACGCAAGACCGCCATGCAATGTAACCAGGCGTCACTGCTGTCATCATAGTAGCGCCGGTTTTCTAGCGGTCCGGTGTGTAGGTGCGGTGCACGTTCTGAGCGTGGCCGTACATACATGCTTTACATGATGAGTGAACCAACAAAAAGGCGCGACGAGTAGAGCGCGACATCAAGCAATCTGGATTTTTGACATCAGCGGCAATAAGCGGCAACAGCAAGTATTTTTACGAAGCAAGTGCAGTTTGAACAACACATCGTCGTCAGATTTATTTAATTAATTAATCAGTGAACCAATTCCATGGACCCAGCCCACGGGCGGGTTGTTGTGTGGCCTTGCTTCCCGCTTCCCGCCGCACACGAACAGGTGCCGCGCACGTACCCACCCGTAGGTATCTAGTAGACAGAGGGAGGAGGTAGGCCCATCGCTACCCAACCATTCGCTGGCCGAACTTTGGCGACTGGCTGCACCCAACGCGGAAATCAGAAGAAAAAAGAAAAGGGGTGCTGCTGCCAGTGGTATACATACACACACATGCGAATGTACCTGTGTGGAGGGTAGTCGCTATTTTATGTTCCCTCACCCGTTCATCCTCTCGTGATAGTAAATAGTGTCGGGTCTACGTATTATACAAAATATCGTACCAACGGATAGTATAGCAAATCACGAGGTGATGTTCGTGCCGCTATTTACTCAAGTACGGTTCGAGTAGCTGTTGGTTTCCTCGCGACCGACCGGGTTCCACCCGACACATACATGTAGCGTCAAATTCATCCGAGGTCATGCATGAATGAATGATCGGCAGGCACGTCAGCTGCTGCTGCTCGCTGTGCACAGATAGACGTATAGAAGAAGCATTGGGATCGGTCGTTTGTTACCGGAACATGCCTGTCGCATACATGCGTTCGCGAGATGCCTACAGAGAAGAGAGTGCACACGCGGGAGGCACACGCGGGAGGCAGGCGACATCCGAACACCATCAAGCAAGCGTTTGTTAACCACTTGTTGTAACGGACCTTCGTTTTTCTGTGAGACGAATCAAAAAGAGGTGTGATGAAACACCCCGCCCCGTGAACTGTTGTTTCCTTCTTATTCGGATCTATTACGTGTCTGTCTGCCGGGCGGCAGGGTAGACGTTGGTAATGTGTTCTTATTGTATCGGTGCCCCAGATTCAACCGACCTAAAGCAATAGCGGAATGTGCCCTTGCGAATATAAACTGGATGGTTGCACACAAGCCGTGGGTAATGCATACCCATGAGAGAGCAGCAATGCTGTTATGTTTGTCGTATATAGGTGTAGTCGATTCTGGGCAACAGCAGGTCTCGTCCGCACTGAACCTCGGATCGGGATAAAAAAAGTTTGCACCGCCAGAGGATACATGGTGCGGTTACACAGCAGCAGCAGGAAAGCAATCGCCTCGGGGGGTAAATCGTTTACTCCGCCTTCCCTCCTGCGGCGCTTCTTTGGGTTATCGACTGACAACCCCAGAAGGGTTCACCACCCCGTAACCTCCATGCTGTTGTGATATCCTCTTGTGTGTACATCGACCAACAAGTATCCATATCCGGCCTTGAAAAATCAACTGGAGATTGCGGCGTTTTTCACTCCTGACGACTGAAGGCGTCCGCGGAGACCGGAGACCGGAACGTTTTTTTTTTATTGTGACGACATCGACACCAACGGGAGATTCGTACCCGCCATCATCTAGAGACAGAGCGAAGCCAGAAGGTAGAGAGGCTACCAACAACCTAGTTTAGCCATCTCCATCGGGGCGGCGAGCAGCCGGAAGACATTCTAGCGGAGGCTTGGATACAAACTGCAGACGACTACTATGCGCACAAGGACGTATGTGCAGTGGTCTTCTCCCGAAGGGGCCTCGAAGAAAAACGAGAATTGAGCACGGAACTGGTATGCCCATGCAGAGGTTATATCTGTTGCATACGTTGTACAGTAGGAACAACCAACGCACGTGGGGACCAGAACAAAAACAATAGCGAGTATTCCGATCCGAAATAGTACTAATTGTAGTATTCTACGTATTGATCTCTTCCTTGACTAACTTATACTGAGAGTTTGGGGTGTGGTCTGTCGAGCGCCATCATCCCGGTGGCTTGAATATTTGATCGCGTGTGGTGCTCATGCCCTGGGGAATGTGCATGTGGTTGTTTTCTCTCCTTCCTGCCTTACATCATGTTTTCCTGAGGTGCGTACAGCCCTCTCGCCAACCATATGAGCGCGGTTGGCCTTACTTACCTCTGCGAGCGTCGCACGACCTCGGCCAGTTCACACGTAAGGGGTGTTTGTTGGTTTGTAGTGATGTAACCTTTATGTTTTTTGTGGTTTTAGACGGAGTACATCGACGAGTACTTTTTCTTTTGTTGGCCCAACGGACTTGCTTGCCGATTTACGCTGATCGTCACGGATGATCCCCTTCAACCAAGCCACCCTCTCTGGCTTTAACCAAAACGGTCTGCCTGCTTGGTCCCGTACGAACGTATTTCCCTCCGCCCCTTTTCTCGGTTTATTGTCTCCAGAACTGACCGGAGATCATTTATCCCGTCCCTCCGCGGATCAGCCGCCGTTCCGGACCAAACGTCGACGGAGGGCGAATCGTAGTCTAGTCAATCAGTGAGTGAGCGATGACCACCTCCACGGGAAGGCCGAGGCCATTCCTGAACGGCGTCTTCAGAACAGCCTGCAACTACTGCGTGAGGTGCGTGTTCGGATGCAGGCTGCACCCACCCTCCGGTAGTCCTTCATGAGTAGGTTAGCAATCCTCACTGGGGCGCAATGGCATTTAGTTGTAATTGTTGTGGTGGAGTTTTGTTTTCCCTTTTCTACTGTGGGACTTCATCACCATGTTTGGTCGAATCAACTGATGCCCGCCCACATCATATCGTAAGTGTCGTTTTCGTTTTTCTCTCTACTTTCCTTTTCGTTTCCGTTGTCGTAGACACGTACCCCAAGCGGTTGTACCCGCCCTAAACCCCCGAACGTCGTCTCACTGCTTTGCCTTCCTTACCCCTTCTCCTCCCGACGAGCAGTAGCAAGCGGGGTTGCAGTGGCGGGGAGCCGTGCGACCAGTGCGAGAAGAGGGGCAAGCCCTGCATCTACGCGCAGCGCCGTAAGAGCGGACCCCGCAGCCGCCCGGCCTCCGGCCGCTCGAGTAAGGGCCGTTCCCGCACCAAGGCTCGACGAGAGAGCCGCGCCGCCGCCGCCGCCGCCGCCGCTGCCGCTGCCGCCGCCGCCGCCGCTCCGGTTGAGTCTCCGTCGCCGGTCATTGCGAGGTCTCCTCCGTCCCCGGCTGCTTCCGGGCTTGCTGGAGAGGACAGGGTTGGTGTGGTTGCTGGGTCTTGGGACGGCGGCGAGGCGGCAGCGGAGGTGACGGAGGTCGAGCGGCGCCGCGGTAGCATCGGCGAGGACGCCTGGGAGAGGGAGCGGCGGAGGCTGGGCTTCACCACCCACGACGACGACCACCACCTACAGCAGGAGCAACAACAGCAATCGCCCTACTATCAGCCCGCCGGGGGGAAGCGGAAGCCCCCCGACCTGGTCATCCCGCGGCCCCACCGGACTGACCCCGGTTCGACCGCGAACCCCCTCCTCGTGAGGTCATCGCCGGCGCCGCCGGTGCCGCCGGCGCCCCCGTCGGGAAGGCTCGAGGTGCCGATGCCGCCGCGGTCGGCCCACGTTCTGTCGCCGCCGCAGGAGGGAACGGCAGGGAGCTTCGGGAGCGGCGGCGATGGATCCTTCTCTTCTTCCTCCTCCTCCTCCTCTTCCGCCTCGAGCTCTTTCTCTTCCTCTTCGACTCCCTCCCCGTTCTTCACCAGGCAGGCGCCGTCCTCTCAGCCGAGCGACGAGGGGAACAACAAGCGGACGCGGGTGTCATCGCTCACCCCGCCCACCCCGCGGACTTCCCTCGCGTCTCCCCCGCCGCTCTCCCTGACGCCCTCATCCTCCTGCTCGGCCCTGCCTCCCCGAGGCTGCATCTCGTCCGTCCTGGCTTCGAGGTGTACGTCCGTAGACGGTGGCGGCGGCGGCGGCGGCGGCGGCGGCGGCGGGAGCTTAGGTCCCGTTCGCCGCGGGCGATCGGCTGCTGCCGCCTCTTCTTCCGCGGGAGGTTGTTCTCAATCATCGTCCAGAACGGCCCCGGAGTCGCCATCGCTGTCGTCGTCGTCTTCGAGCCGCGGCCGCGGTTCCGGTCAAATCGTCTTCGGTGCCAGGCGGTCGCCAGCGCAGCCGGCCTCGGAGAGGGGTGGGTGGGTGGAGGCTGAAGCTGCGGCGCCCCACCCGGTGTTGCACAGCGTGTCTCCGGGCTCGGCCATGTCGCCGCCGGAGTCGAGCGCCGGCGAAGGGTCTGCGGGAATGCAGGCGTCGTCGTCCTACGCCATGGTGGGGTCGTCGTCTTGGGCCGCCACCGCTGCGGCCGCCGTCACCGCCCCTGCCGCTGCTTTGCCACGCCTGGGTGCGGGTTACGCCGGGGGAGACTTCGATGACATGAAGACGTTGTACGAACCGCTGCTGCTTCGGAGGGAGGAGGACAAGCGCCGCCAGCTCCTCGAGGAGCACCGGTGGGAGCAGGAGCGGGAGCAGCAGAGGGAAGAGCTCAAACATGAGCGGCTCCTTCGGAGCCACCAGGAGCAGGAGCAGCAGCAGCAGCACCTGCGCCAAGACCAGCTGCTGTCGAGGAGGCAGATGTCCCTGGGGGCCCTGCTAATGGCCGACGACGACGAGCTCGGCGAGTCGTTCAAGCAGTGCCACATCACCGACGACAGCAACGGTCCGTCGGGGAGCCACATCACCGACGACAGCAACGGCCCATCGAGGAGCGTGTCCGGCGACCTGGTTCCCGTGGAAGCCCTACGCCGCGTTGTTAGCGACACCGCCCAGTCGTCATCAGCGCCGGCTGCGGCTTCGCTGGCGCGAACCATCTCTCCCGCCGAGTTGCCACGCGACGGCCCGGGCGGCGTGGAGGGCTACGCTTCATCGTCGTCTACCTCCACCGCCTGGTACGCCGGGGGGGGGTGCGGCGGCGTAGGCGGCGGCGGCGGCGGCGGGATGCAGCTAGAGGCAGGGGATGGGGACAAGAACTTCTCGCTGCGGCCGCCGTCACCGCCGCACCACCGGGTCTCGGGCATGACGGAGGAGGCCCTGCCATCGTCGCCGTGGGGAGAAGGCGGGGCGCCGGTGGCGGCGGCAGCAGAAGGGTCGTGGGGGCGAGGGCGACCGCTTCTCCCCCGCGCCGTTCCCAACGGCAACGCCGAGGCTGCCGCGACCGCTCGGCCGGACTGCGCGGCCCTGGCGAACATGCGCACGCCGCTAACCCGCGAGGCTTCCCTCATGCGAGCCGTGGAGGCGTCTGCCGCAACCTCCGGCGGCTATGGCGGCGGCGGCAAGCAGGTGATGATCCTCGAGAACGGCGACATGGACGACATCCGCGCCCCCCTGCTCCGGGAGGCCTCCCTCATGCGGGCCATGGAGGCCGTGAACTCCTTCACCACCGGGGATGACGGAGGCGTCGGCGACTGCGGGGAAGACACGGCTGCGGCTGCGGCGGAACTCATCTCCAGCGCCGGTGGCGCAGACGACGGTCTCGGAGACGTGTTCTGCGAGACGTCGGCTGCGGCGCTCGCTACCTCCACGTGGTGAAAGGACCCCCCCCCCGCGCGCGCGCTCTCTTTTCTTGTATTGTGCTTTTTGACCAGCGTGGGTCCTTTCTCGCCGCTGTAGGGAGCGGTTAGAAGACGGCTGTCACTAAATAGTAGGTGGTTGTCGTTCAAAAACGTGTTGTTGTTGGGCGTGTATCGTTTGTCTTTGTTCTTCGCTGTTGCTGTTGCTTTTGCTGTTGCTGTTGCTTTTGCTGTTGCTGTTGCTGTTGCTGTGGCTGGGCTCGGCCTTGAAGGCCTGGGTATGCATATCTCTGTCTTCAACTTTTTTGTCAATTGTCTTGGCGGACGGATAGGGTTCCACATCCATCTCCGTTGTTGTCGTGGGCAGTTATCTGTGACGTGGTACTCTGTCTGAATGCTTGTGTTTTTCGATGATTGGGGGCAAATAGGTGTGAGGTTAGAGGGTACTTTAAGAAAGAGATATGTGCTGCTGGTCCGGCGGCAACTGGGAGGCAAACCGAACCTGTACAAATCTAAGGAATGCCGCCCGTCGCCGGAGCCATCCACGGGAGCCAAGACCTAAAACTGTCCGAGAGCGCGATCATTTTTTTTCTTCGATTTTCCTTTTTTCAAGCCCGGGGGAGACTTTCGTGCTTCAACCAGTATACGAAGTAAAATATGGTCTCTTGTTCCCAGAAATGAGTTTATTTTGGTGTTCTTTACATGCATGTCGGGTTCGGTATTGTTTGCTCGGCATCGTCACGGGCGTACTACATATATGTGCAGTGCGCGCCAGGCTTTGTTTCCGTCGGTGTCTCGAGCCACTCAAAAGTGTTTTGTTGGTGCATGTTACGGAGGTATATACACTACCCGCACTGGGCGGTAGCGTTGCAGTACCCAGTTTTCTGTCGTTGCTCTGAGCCGGCCAGACTAGGTGGTTGTACAATTCGACCTACTACTATGTACGATACCGTGGCCATGGCGCCTGGCCGGCGTCCTGGTTCGATCGAGTTATGTTCGAGATAGTTATGCGAGTAGGAGTCAAGTCGTTAGGGGTGTTGGTGGAACCCTCACGAAAGCTGCTTGGCTTCTAGGTAGTTGTGGTGACGCGTGAACGCTTGGTCAGTCAATGTTTCAGGCCGGCCGCTGCTGTTTTGGTCGGTCGAAGTACTGCTGTTGTTGTTGGTTGGATGTTGCTATGGGAAGCATGCTGTTGTACTGTAGGGTGTGACGGATTGAGCAAGCAAGCGCGGTTGGTTGTGCGAGTGATGCTTATGGGAAGGTTTGCTTGCCACAACACCGCGTGAGGCCTTGTACCGCTCATGGTTTCGAAGAGATTGATTGCAACACCTCTTTAGCGTATTTCGGTAGACGTTTAACTTGCTTCCAACAATTAGATTGTCTTTTTGTGTGTGTATTTTGAAATGTTGTGAACGTTCAACCAGCGTCGGTCGCCTTGCTACCGCCGCCTCCCGTGTTCCCCCTTTTTTTTTGTCGGTGATTTTTGTTCTGCTTGGTGTGTGGCGGTCGGAGTTGGGATCATTTAGCCTACATATTCCAGATTGTTGTCAACCAGAAATAAATGTGTGTCTTAACTGAGGCCACACGATGGATTATTGATGGCTTGTGTTTTAATAGTCTACTGTATGATATGTAGTCTAGCCGTTGGTATGTACACGTCAGCACCACCGGGACTTTGGGCGTTCGCCACGAACGGACGCCTTTTGTTCGGTAAAAAAATGTTTCGGTTTGTTTATGGTGGTGGTCGTACTAGTGGCGGCTTTTGCGATAGCTGGGACGTTTCTCGACCGCGAATGCATGCATGTAGGCCGACGTTGCGCTCGTAGCATGTTTCCCTGCCGATGGACAACTTCGTAAGGGGGGTCTCCGGAGGGAAATTTCGTGCTGCGTGCATGTTGACACAAGCTATGTAGCATGTTGGGCGCCATGTACTGTACATGCCGATGTCGGTTCTTCCAAATTTTGCAGCAAACTCTGGGTTCACTAGAAAGACTCGAAGATAGTATTACAGTGATGTTTGCTTTGCGTTTGCGTCTGTAGTCAGTGAAAGCAGCGACATGCCAAATGATTTCACGGGGGGGCTGGCTCCTGGTGACAAATGACATGTGCTCTAGAAGATGTGGATCGTTCAACGGGTGTAGGTAGCTATTCGAGACAGCCGTTGAGCTGTTGCGTGCAAGTGCGTGCGGTGCGTGCGAGAAAACGATCGCGATCAGTGCGATTCTAGAGGAATCAACTGAGTTGCTGATGCTGCTGCCTGCCACGTCTCTCAGCAACCAGCGAAATCAAAACGAAGCTTCAGAGTCTGGCACAACTTTCCGGTAGAATGTTTTTGTCGTCCACGGATCGCCCACACGGCAGCAAGAAAAATAATTCCTACCCTTCAAGCTCAGCGCTTTGGCGACAAAGCTCCATCATCGATTGCCGGCACCGGCAACTTGAGAGGGGCGAGAATGAGGCTGAAAACGAAAAGCGATCTCGCCACCACGTAAAATATACAAAGTGGCAAGGAACTGGTCCGCAGTTGGCGGTTGTGCCGCAGACTTTTTTGGTCAGCTTTCACATGGGGTGAGAACATCATCGTTCCGAAGCCAACGATGGCGACCACGACGTTCTCGGAAAATCCCAATCGAAAAAAAAAAAAACTCACCAATAGCGGGTTGAGAGGAAAGTCAGCACCCCGGCCTGTGGTTCGTCTCGCACCCCCACACGGCAATGCGGTTAACATTATCCGCAGCTTTTTCGCGACACTTTTGATAACACTCTTTTTTCGATCAACACCAACACTACACAAAGGAAACGAATCCACGGCTTCCTTCCCTCGGAGTGATGGCTGGGGGGAAAGCTCGACCGTGTCCTTCATGTACTTTGTCGCCATCTTGGCTTACCGACCTTGACTCGCACCTCCAATACCCACGAGATCCGATAGGGCAACCAATAACAGGCAGAAAAAAAAAAAAACAGCAAGCGGCAGTAAAGAAAGGTAAATGTATGCCCTCCACTCACATGACACGAGGAGAGGAAAACCGTTGATACATCAAGATTACTTACTCATCACGAACAAGAGCGTAAGTGCAGCCGGGCAATTAAATAAAACCATACACATGGACGGGATTCGCCCTTAACAGCAGTGGTCGAGAGGACCACAATAGCACACCACCCTGGGCAACCGTTTCTCGATCACTTAAGCGTCGACAGACACACGGGATGGAGACCACGCAGATTTGTTTTTTGCAAAGAAGCGCCGGCGATATTTTCCCTGGCACCGATCGGCGCGCTACTGAGAAAAGTTCTCCCAAGCAAACGCCTCGATACCAAATCAGCAGAAAAACCAAGTCGCTAAGAAAACAAACGCTCACAAACAGAACGGTAGCAGATTGGTCTACACGATAGTAACGTCAACAGGAAGCTCTATTCGTTGTAGCGCCACCAACGACAAGTCGATCAACACCACCAGAAGTGACAAAAACTCTCTACCACCCGCCTGTCAAAGACCTCTCCTTGAAGTGCTACCACCCCTCCTCTGCCGTTGTTGTGCCAGCACAAGGCTCCCCAGCACGAGTAGACCCCCCGTGGCGTGGTACGGCCGCAGTGCCGCCAGCGTGAAGTGGTACCGGAGGGTGGTCTGCCCAGACCTTACCGCCGCTGACTGGAGGGTAGAGCAGGCCTGGCATTGCGGGTAGAAGCGCTGGGACACGGTCTGCCGCAGCGCCCTCCGCCAGAGCTTGGCGTTCGCCTGGGTGTATTTGTGTGCACAGAACGGGCCCGGAGATGAAACAACGTCAAAGTTTGGTTTCATTTATCATCATATCCGCAACAGCAATCCATGGTATATACCACGAAAGATTGCGACCACAAGGACATGAATGAGAACAACAACCAACAACCGCAGCAACAGCAGCGGCAGCCGCAATATCATCGCTCACCAGTTTGACCGTCTTGAGCGGGGGCATGTGGTCCGCGATGAAGGTGGCCGGAGCCCTCGTCCCGCAGGTGTGGCACCCGAAGTTCTTCCCAAGAGTCGCCAGGGCTTGCCTCTTGCCGTCGGAGGCGTACTCCAGAGTCGCGGGCAGGGACGCCGACAGCCTGCAAGGAAGCGCATAGAGAGAGAGGGGGGGGAGAGAGAGAGAGAGAGGGAGAGAGAGAGAGGGAGAGAGAGAGAGGGAGAGAGAGAGAAAGAGAGAGGAGCAGGACATGTATGGTTGGGCAGGACGCGGATGGGTGTGTGTTGGTCACCTTCCTCGTATCTAGAACGGGAGGTGCTAGCTCGACGGCCAAGCCGCCTCTGTGGTGGTGGTGGCGACACGTTGCACGAGAGTGATGGCGGCATGATGGTTCAGTTCCCTCGGTTGCACAGAGGACAAAGAGCTAGCCAAGACCACACCACCATGCCCGAGGGTGCAGCAGGCTAAGAAAGGTGAACTACAGCAGTATTGTGCTGAAGCAAACGAAAAACACGGCACGTGCATGGACGGAAGCCCCGTGACCCGAGATTGACAACACTCAGACTCGGACGACTTACGCGACGCCCAATACCACCACAAGAACACGCCGTTTTCGGACAAGGCCCAGTTCCCCAATGTACCAAGCACTGAGTGAGATCGAGAAGAGGCTGAAGCCGACATGCAATGGTATTTTTCGAACGGAAATTGATTTTTCGAACGGAAATTGTCCTGCTCATGCTGGGCTGCCTCCAATCCGAGGTCCGCTTTCCTTTGAAAGTGCGTGCGTGCGTGCGTGCGTGGTTGGATACGGCGAACGAAGCGTTCTCGAAATCAAACGGCACAAGACTTTTGGTGCGCGAACACTTTGGCGGAGATCGGGGACAGGCCGTAGCCGAACAAAAAAATTTCGAAGATATTTCACAAAGTATAAATAATCACCTGCTGAAAGCTCCGGGCATGTGAAGAGCGCTAGGGGCCACCGAGCTAAACCTCCCGCCCAGCGCCCGAAACAGAACCAGCCCGAATGAGCTGGCACCTATCTCGCCGCTATTTGCTGGTTGTTCCGCCGCCTCAAGCACTGGATGTCGTGATAACAACGACGAGAGCAAGTAAATCGGAGGCAAGAGCGAAAAAAAAAGAAAAATACAGGGCGTTGGGCTGGATGACAAGCATACGACCAACAAGAATGGAAATAGGTCGGCCGGGGTGGTATACAACAACCAATCTTGTAGAAGTACATTCCTTCTGGACTCGTGCGCCAAAAAAAAACAGGGAAACGAGAATGCCTGGATGCTCGAGTCAGTCGGCTGATGAGCGGCAGTCCTCAAACCGAAACCGAAACGAGCCGGTACTCATCGCGCCGCGTGCTAAACTAGAACCTCTATGGTTTAGCCTCGGAGCCTTGCTCGGTCGATCCGTTTGTTTCTTCAGACACTAATAGTGACAAACAAAAAACCCCGGCCCACTACAGTAGCGGGGAAAACGGCCGAAATGATAGTGGGGACTCACTAGATCGCCATGGGTCGGAGATCCGTTGACTGTCCTTACTGGAGGCTGCCTCCAGCCCAGAGGAAATCCCTTCGGCGACTCTAACCGAGGCCACAGACGCCGCTGCCACCGTTGCAAACCCTGTCGGAGGGGGGGGGGGGGGGGGGGGGGGGG